TCAATATGTGTTGCAGATGGTGAGCACAATAATAACATACGAGGTGGTATTGTTCCAAGCCAATGCAATCCGCAGAGATACGATGGATTATTACTTTGGCTATAACTTGAACAACACAAGAGCAAGCTTTTGCACTCGTTCCATCTTGCCACTATACAATAAACTGCAGAATTCAACAAATTTTGATTAGTAGTAGGCTACATGTATTTAGTTTTTATTGGTATTTTTTTTATTACTATTTCGTTTATTCTCACGAATGTTTTAGTGTAGTAATTGAAAATATACTATTTGACCTCAAAACCCAACATTTATTTGACTTAAAGCCAGTGAGGATCATTCCCTTTCCCACAATCGTATCAAAGAACAGAGACATTAAACTAACCTCAGTTCGTCAATTGTTTTTGTTCTGGTCCGTGCACACTGACAACAATATATTTGACTGTTATATAATAAGTGATCTTTAGTAACCACATGCCACCTATGGAACTCCGCAAACCTATGGAATATCCCATTAAACCCACAGAAAACCGATCCCAACAATTATGGTGGCGCTGAAGGAATACTACCTTGACCAGATGACCGTGGCTTGGGTGCACTAGAAGTATGTGCTTGTGTGACCGTATGCTAGAGAAGTAAAAGAAATTCATTTAAAGTTTTAGTGCAATCTTTTATTTTGTCGATGATATCTTATTATTACTGGTTTTAAAGGTTAGCCGCAAGGAATTACCACAGGGTCCTAAATTCGCCTCAATAAAGAAGAATCATAATTTCATTTAACACACATCTGCAAAACTTAAACGATGCAGAACTTGAACTTAAATACTAAAACACAGGTGTCTGATGATGATTGTCCAATTTTAATACACTTTCATTCATGATTTAGCCTATTCGTTTTAGGCATTGCATCAAATTATTCGTTCTATGACTGTTGGTAAAATGTTTTTATTTCAAATCGTCTTTATATCAGCTGATTATTTAAATGATTTAAATTAGTCATCTGCCAATGTTTTGGTTAAGGTTTTATATACACTAGTGTACCTGTTGCTCGAATTCGGTATTTACTCAGGGGAGGTATAGAAGAGGCTACGATGACAGCTGTGGGCTTCTTATTAGCTTAGGGAACGCCATTACTGTAACAAAACGATGGGTAGTTATCGGCCTCGGTGGTCTAATGGTTAGCGTGCTGGGCTGATATACTGTAGGTCCCGGGTTCGAATCCTGCTGGTAGCAGTTAATTTTTGTCCAAGATTTTTTTATTATCAGCAAGTTTGGTTGGTTTGGTTCGGTTATTACAGTTTAATTTTATTATTAAGTCATTATAAAATTTTAATTGAGCAAATTCTAGTTTTATTTAATAAACAGAATTATTTTTCCGATTTCTAAACTTTTGTTATATTATTTCTTTACCAGCAAGTTTGGTTAGTTCGGTTAGGTTATGATAGTTAATTTTATAATTAAAAAATAATAAAATTGAATTTGAGACATTTATAATTTTATTTTATGAACAGAACTATTTTTGCGATTAGTAAACCTTCATTGCCAAAGTGCTCTCTACTACAGCGCTGTTCACGGAGGAATTTTGAACTAAATGCCTCATTCGTACCTCCCCTAAGTCAGACCCCTCGAATTCGAGCAATTGCGAAGCATTACAGGCGACTCACGAAGATTATGGAAATACTCACGATCTACACAACAGTTAGACATAATCAAAATCTTTTGTAAATATCTTGTCTTATCTCAAAAAGCTGATCTTGTTTTTTCGTGTTTCTACAAATTTTTCCCTCTCATAGCCGCATTAGGTTGTCTATAATAACGATTATAAATGAAAAAAAAAAACATTATTTATTATCTTCTACTTGGTTGTGTTCTATGACTTTTTCTATGTTTCCATTGTTTGCAAATCGGTTATTTCAATGATTGTTCAAGAAATGTAGCATGTAGCATATTGTTAATTCAGTTTTATTTTTAGCCTATATCAAATTGTCCAGGATTTCTCGCTTTTTCCATTGTAATGATTTCACCAACCCAAGTTTCGTCACAATCATACAGATGCAATACGCCAAAGAATATCACCTAAGTACAATCTCCAAGAAGTGGTAAAAAAGGCAGAAACCAAGCCATACAATAGATATAAGTTAACTCCATAAGAAATAATTTTAAGAGTTACTGTGATATTAGGATTTTCCACTGATTTGGTAATAGAACATTATATTGCAAAACATGACACGATGCAGAATAAAATCGATTTTAAAATCAGAAAAACCCATTGCAAATACTGTACTTTATTTTGAAAAATGCAATAAATCACAATTTAAATATTAACAGCTGTTTCATTAAAAAGTAGTGTAGAATTATGCATATGGTAAACAAATTTGAAGAGACAACTTTAAAGGCTTCTGGGGCAGAGCCCCAAGGGAATTTACCTCGTTCCTCTTTTGATGGCTCATCTATAGACCAAGACCTTTCTTTAGAGACCCCTACCAAGTTTCTACGCCCAGCCGTTCTCTCAAATTAGCTGGGACAAAAACCCAGTTTTTCCTCCATAAGAATAACATGGGATGGGAATTCAAAGGCCACTGGGGCAGAGCCCCAAGGGAATTTACCACGTTTCTCTTTTGATGGCTCATCTACAGACCAAGACCTTTCTTTAGACACCTCTACCGAGTTTCAACGCCCAGCCGTTCTCTCAATTTAGCTATGACAAAGAAACAGTTTCAAATTAATATATAGATAATTCTGATGAAAAAGTTACAAGTTTTTGTTTATTTGTATTGAGTTTTTTTATGATAAGCTTTCAAAAATGACAAGTAGGAGAAAGATAAGCCACTTTAGGCGTTTTTCCTATAAGAATAACATGGAGATAATTTTTAGCAAGTTTTTCAAAAAATCCTTATCGTTGTCTTCATATCCCTATATAATTGTCCAACCTTACACATATTACTAATCCTTGATTATTCCCTATATATATATATATATATATATATATATATATATATATATATATTCGAAATCAAGCTTAAAAAGCTAATTCTTTCATTTATTGATACATACAAGTGTATATGTAAAGTAGGGGCAATATAGCAAAGAGACATCACTTGGGGCGTTTTTTCCCATAAGAATAATATGGGGATTATTTTTTTGCCGCTTTTTCAAAAAACCCTGATCTTGGCCTATACATCCCTATACAAATGTTTTATACTATAGGCCAACTCCATAAACATTTGAAATCCCCATCCATTCTCAATCAAAATCATCGACTTGACAGTGCGAGATTTGCACGAGTACTCGGGCGTGCTTCCGGCCGCGGGCACGATTCTCGACCTTAGTGGTGATAAACTAAACATCTTATGAAAAAATCTTTGAAACCAAAACTGAGGAACATCTAATTATCGATACTTTTCCCCCTGAAAGTTTTCTCTGACCAAAAAATAAACAAATCCTCGCTTACTTACTTTTTCATGTTCACTCAGTGTAACCTTTTAGCGAATTTCCCATATAGGGAATAAGCTATTACCGTAGTACTCATGGTAAGACCTGGACGCGGGACCGATTTTTTTTTTCGTTTTGAGGTCCCTAGAGGCCAAAAACACCATCCGTTCCAATTCATATATATATATATATATATATATATATATATATATATGTGTGTGTCCGTCAGCACGATAACTCGAGCAAAAATGATCCGATTTTGATGAAATTTGGTAAAAACGTGTAAACGTACGTTTATTCGAACGAGTTCGCGATCCAGCATGATCGGACCATGGGAACGGGGGTTTACGGGGGGTTTTAGGGGGTGAAAATAGGTTTTTCCCATTTTTGACCCAAAAAACATAAAATTTAGCAGTTTATTTCCAAACCATTTTGTAGAGCTTAAAAAAACAAATAATTTAGTATATTGAAGCGTTATTATGCGCCTAATGGTTACGGAGAAAATTCCAAAAAATTGTAAATTTAAAATTCCCATGTTATTCTTATGGAGAATAAGTAAACTGTTGTAGTTTGCTTGTTTGTGAACATATTTTGAACAAATTTGGAAAATGTTTTTATTTCTTACTAACTATTCACATTTTACAAAAAAAAAAAAAAAAAAAAAAAAAAACAGTTTTACCCTCCCTGATGCAGCAAACCTAAGTACTTGTTAAACTAATTCTATTTAAATCAAGAATAAATGTTATATTTTTAAGTAGACATTTCAGTGTAAATCCAATCAGTCAAATGGAAATTTACTTAGTCTGCAGGTTTGCTGCGGCGGGGATATTTATATTTTCCTTAATATATAATTACACACTGGCACAAATTTTGATTTCGGTATTTTCTTCCGAGGGTTTGGTATGCCAGGTTCAACACCTTTTCATTTTCCCTGGGTTCCTTTAGTTTCATAGTCTTAGATAGTCCTGGATAGTGTTTGCACCTACTTACTTAGAATTACAGTATTAGTTTCGAACGTGTCTGTTTTTGGGCCTAATGAGTAACGTCCGTCCTTGTGGAGAAAAACTATTTTTCATTCTTAAAACTAAAGCTTTTGCTTAATTACAATAATAGTCAAACACCAAATATAGAAAAGAAGTCGAAATATTACATGTAAATATCTGCTTTACTACCTAATACTGTATCTTGATTATGCCGTGTCTTATGGATTAACATATTTACATTGAATATAATCATTTTACGAAAGTAACTACAAAAAAGTTGTCTTTGATGACAAACAGAAAATACTGTATATTGAAAAAAATGTTCATTAAATGCAACAAAATAATCACAATTAAACTAATAATTCTTTTTTGCATTACATAGAGCTCTTTTATTTACCATTACTGTTAAATTTTGTAAAAAAAAGAAAAAACTACAACTCCTAGGCACATCCTTAATTTTAGCTATACAATGTCACTGTGAATATATTAGGCAATATTATTCTAGTATTTGGGCACATACAATTTTTAAATCTAAGAGATGGTGAAAAGCCTAAGAAGGAATTGACTAGGGATCACAAAAACTCCAAATTACAATATCACGATTTAAACTTCTTTATTAAATAACGTTAAAGAAGTCATTGTATATATTATATAATAATATTGCGTGTATGGCATCGTGAAGTGTTTTAGCTAGCCGAAGCTAGCATTGGAATTATTTTACATAAATAACTTAAGTCATTCGTCAAAATAAATACATATCCATTCAGTAACAAATCAACAAATAATTTGTATGCGCTTAAAAGTCCCCATCAGAATGTAAGTCGAATCTTGGTGGGAAAGAAGCGCCGTCGAACATACTGGGCCTGATGGGGGGAGGTCGGTGTGTCTGTAAAACAAGAATTGCCATATTAGATCAAGGGGAATAAGAGTTTGAAAACGAATAGTTTTTATATTGGATTGATGGTTAGATATCATACGTTATGTTAATGCCCTTCGAAGAACTGCAAGATTGCAACTCCAACATTAAAATGGACTATTTGATAATTCAATCAATAGCTTTCATCGTGAATATTTATGGACACCCCAATACAGTTCTTGAGCAAATTTTAAATTAGTTATATTTTAAAAAGAAAAATTAATTACTGTATGACATGAAATGTGTTGAACAACGACTTTATTTTCTAAAACTGTCAATGCAAAATTTCTGTTATATCCTAATAATGGCGACATTAGAAGCCATTATAAATAACATACAGTTACGAGAGAATCAGAGAAAAGTGTAATGTCACTTGAGAAGATTGGTTTCTAACCTTGTTGCATATTTTGATTGATAAAACGACCAGCTGAGGGGCGATACAATGTAGGATCAAGTTAGTGACAAGATTACTATCGGTGTGACGGTTTAAGTTATTAATCATAGGAATAAAACGAACAAAATAACATACATAATGCACCATTTTAAGGATTACACACACAGGTTTGGTTGGTTGTTCATATCACTGTACCAGCTCATAGGTTTTGAGGGTAAATCCACAAATGGTTAGGATGGATTTAGAGAAAGTACATTCTAGAAACAACTATAAGTTACATCAATATACACTTAAAAACATGAAATTCGAAGAGGTACAATTCCCACTAGTGCAAACCATGCCGCAGAATCAGAGCGGGTTCTATCCTAGGTGAGGTGCTTAGGACCTAGACCTAGGTAAGTTGGATGGACTATCACATATAATCTCTATTCTGTGGGGGGGGGGGGGGTAAACTATATCATGCCGCAGAATCAGAGCGGGTTCTATCCTAGGTGAGGTGCTTAGGACCTAGACCTAGGTAAGTTGGATGGACTATCACATATAATCTCTATTCTGTGGGGGGGGGGGGGTAAACTATATCATGCCGCAAACAATCGATATTTCACTTACTATGGAAAGTAAAGAATTTACTCTGCAGCGACATTGCGTTTCTTGCCCTACAACCACCACAACGTTAGAGTTCTATCTTATGTTTCACTACCTTTTGAATGAAAATATAAACATTGTATTGGTAGAATCTACTGAAATTCAAAGTATTTTGCAGTATTCAATACTACCATACAATATGTATTAGGTTGTTAGTTTAAGTGTATTAGAGGTTATTGGTTGAATGCACTGTACATGTATACTGTATAGATACTGTAATGTCTACTAATCATAACGATTATGGGGTGGTTTTGAAACAACATAATTCAGATTCATTTTATATTTGAGTACCTATGTACAAAATTAAAAGTAAAAAAATGTATAACTCAAATGTTGAAAGGCTAGAACCGACACTCTTTTATCATTCAAATTAGTTGCAAGGAATAAAACGAGAGCAAGATCAGTATTGTAAAAATATTTTAGGTAAAAATTCAATGTGAATTTTTATTAAGACTTTTTTTATCACGTGTCCCTCTCAATTATTTCATCTTAAAATAAAGGTGAGTAAATCATAGGCCTATTGAATATGTTCAATATTCACATAACAGATACCTATCAGAGGTTTTATTTGATAGATTTTACAATTTATACAGTAGTATTGATTATAACAACTTAAGGTATTTCCTCGGTTTGTCAATATGTTTTCATAAAGAACAAAATATCTTGTACTTGTCGTGGATCAGCTTATTTTTCGTGTTATGGTTCAACTTACCAATGGGCTTCCCGCTCGTCCCGCGGATCCCGCTCGGCCTTTCGTCCTGAACTTGGCGATCGCCTGTTCGGCAAGGTCCGCCCTCTCTTCTGCTTCCTCAAGCTCCTGTTGTGCCTTGCGGAACTTGGCCAGGTTCAGGGCTGCGATCTCCTCAGCTTCCTCAATCTGTCTCTTGTAGGTCTTGATCTTCTGTTGCAGTTTGTCAACCAGGTCCTGCATGCGCTCCTGGTTCTTGCGGTCCTCGTCAGCCTGGAAGCTCAGTTCCTTGATGCGTCTCTCTGACTTCCTCAGGTTCTTCTGGGCGTCGGCGTGTCGCCTCTGTTCGCCGTCCAGCTCATTCTCCAGCTCACGCACTCGCTGTTCCAGCTTGGCGATCGCCTTCTTTCCTCCCTTGAGTGCGTTGTTCTCAGCCTCGTCTAGTCTTACCTGCAGACAAGCATTTTAAATTAGGGAAGCTCTCTTGAGAATTTTAGGCACACCCACCTCACTGAAACAATTTTAAAGCATACTTTTCTTATCATCAATATGACCAACAACTAGGAGGTCATATGTAGGAATATGAGTAAATTATTGAAGGTGCATTTCTTGAGCTAATATAAAATTTTAGGTTAGGATTAGAGTCATTTTCATAGCCATTTATTACTTAATACCGTCAAATGACTTCCTGATTAGTATTGTATCAGGTTACATTAATATTTTGAGATAAATTGTTATATTGGCATGAACAACTTAGCCAACATATATACCTGGAGCTCCTTGATCTGTGTTTCAAGCGCCTTGCGCAGCTTCTCTTGTGTCTGGGCATGGTCCTGTTCCGCCCTTAGCTCGTCGGCTAACCTCGCCGCGTCCACCATCGCCTTCTTCGCCTTCTCCTCGGAGTTCTTGGCTTCGTTGAGGAGTTCATCCAAGTCCGCGTGCAGGGTCTGTAGCTCGCTCTCGAGTTTTCTCTTGGCTGCTGACGCTGATGTTGCCTGGGCGCTCAGTTCGTTGAGCTGCTCCTGAGCGTCGCTCAACTCCTGCTCGGCCTGTCGTCGACCACGGTCTGCCTGTTCCAGGAGTGTTCTAGACTCTTCCAGCTCGTTTTGGAGTGCATTTGCTCGCCTCTCGCTGATGCCCAACTGTTCTCTGGCGTCGTCTCTGGCGCGTTGTTCCTCCTCAAGGGCGGTCTGCACGTCCTTCAGCTGAGCCTGGTACCTCTTAATGTTCTTCTGGGCTTCAGCATTAGCCTGTAAAAATGTGTTCAGTCTCAAGCAATACATTTTCATTATTTACACATTAACTTCTTGCATTTGAGTAAAATATTTTCACAAGAGAAGTATGTTTTTATGCAGATGAACTTACTGATTTTTCGTCTAAATTCAAACCTTGAAACATAACAACCGATATGCAAACATAATGTTAATAATGGGAATTTGTTAAAACGTTTTTTTTATATGGTGTCATAAAATTCTATATTCACCTTGTTGGCGTGGTCAAGAGCGATCTCGAGCTCATTGATGTCAGCCTCTAGTTTCTTCTTCATACGCAGAGCCTCAGCCTTACCCTTGGCCTCGGCCTCCAGACTTGCCTGCATGGAGTCCAGAGCACGCTGGTGGTTCTTTCTGATAGTAAGAACAATTTAATCATTTAATAAAAAATCAATAGAAATAATGTATACATCATCATTGAAGAAAGTTCATGAATTGTTTCAAGTACAACTATTTGTAACTGTGTAACTGAATTTAAAAAGTGGGTCCATAAATATTGTCAAAATGGTTAGGAAAGTACTTAAAATATTCAAGTTATTAAAATGTCTAAATGTAAAAATGTCTATGTGACCTTCAACTTTTAATGCAAAATCTTACTAATATTATAAATGTGAAAGTTTGTGTGTTAGTTAGTTTGTTTGTTTGAAGACCAATTACGCTTTAACTAATGGCCGGATTGGGCTGAAATTTGGTATGATGATAGCTCACATTCCCAATTAACATATAGACATATTCTTATCTCAAAAATCCTTTCGGGCTCCGCCCCAGTGGCTCTGGAGTTTCCCATGTTAACCTTATGAGTATTCATATTGAAAAGGGATTTTTGTCAGCTGTTTCAATTACACATGCTGTTCTATGATATACAATATTATTACAAGTTATAAGGTTCACCAACAGGGTGCAGCACTATTATAATTTTATTATATAATTTATAAATAAATTATAATTTATCACTATTATAATAAATTATAATTTGATCCAAGCTAACAAAAAGCTGTGATGCAACTGTTAAAGTAGGATTGTTTACAGTTAAGTTTATGTTTTTAATTTATAAAATGATGTTTTGAGATTGTGCAAACATTCGATAATTTACTTTTTTATTGTTTTATGTCCTATACTATAGCTTCCGTAAATTAAAAGAACCAAATTTTCTCAAACCGTGCCCTCTTCCATTGCAAACACAAAGCATGATTATAACTGCAATAAGCATTTTATTCTTATACGCCAACCCCGTACGAAGGGCGGGTATTCAACTAGTTATTTAATAAGTTAAACGTCATTGGTAAGATCTTAATCATGAGAACATAGTTTACGTAAGATAAGAATACTGAGAACCAATGTACAATAAAAATACGTATTTTCTTACCTGGTGTTCTCGAATTCCTCTTCCTTCTCCTGGATTCTCCTGTCGATTTCCTGTCTGACCTGAGACAGTTCCAGTTGTGATCGCAGAACCTTGTTCTCTTCCTGTTCCAGAGCAGCCTCGGCCTCTTCCAGAGCAGCTTGCAGTTCGTCCTTCTCTACTTCCAGACGTTTGCGTGCCTTTTCGATCTCGTGAATGTTTCGGCCACCCTCTCCAATCTGGTCCAGCAGATCCTTGACCTCGTCTGGAGGCAATAATCAATTATGTTATGTTAGTCATATTCGGATAAACTATGATTGTAAAATAGGTTTTTAAACTACTCTTTAGATAGTTGTAACTCCAAAAAATAAGTTATTGAAAATTTTGCATAAATACATAAATCTTTAAGTTCAGTGTAGACACCCTTATCAAGCAGTAAAGTACTACTGACCAGCCAAGTTCTTGTTCTCACGGCGCACGGCTTCCAGCTGTTCCTGGCCCTCCTCGTAGGCACCCTTCAGCCTGAACAGCTCAGTCGAGTAGTTCCTGCATTCCTTCTGGCTGGCGTCAAGTTCAGCAGCAAGGTCGTCAACCTTGAGCTTCCATTCCCCGATGATCTTGTCAATAGCCTTAGCCTTCTTCTCGGCCGCGTTAGCGACGGCAGTGGCACGGTCAACCTCGAGTTGCAGGTCCTCGACTTCTGTAGACAGACGCTGCTTGGTCTTCTCCAGAGCGATGACCTTCTGGTTCAGTGACTCGATGGTCTCCTCAGCCTCGGCAAGACGAGCCTGGAGTTTGCGCCTAGAGCAGACACAAACATAAGAGTGTCCATTACTTAACAGGGGAAATATCATACAAAAAGAAAGCTAGCTGTAATATTTTGATATTATTACTTCAACTTTTTTTACTCACACTCTCGTTTTACACAATTTTCTAATATAATTATATTTTGTATACAAACAAACATTCATAAGTTTTGTGGCAAAAAATGTGGTTTGAAGAAGTTTTACATACTCAATTATATAATTATAACTTTTACTTGAAACTAAAAAGTAAACACGTAATAAGACGATCCTACGTAAGAAGATAAAAACTACAAAAACTAATTGAAATTACTGCGAATACAGTCTTTCCTAGATAAATTCTTAAGGGAATATTGAATACCATCCAACCTTTTGAAATACTAAATTGATTCGAATAATAGTTAATAGTTATATGACAATAAATTATTAAACTTACTTGGCCTCCTCCAACTCCTCGGCACGGGCGACTCCCTCGCTCTCGTACTTGGATCTCCACAGTTGAGCCTCAGCGTTGGCCTTGCTGAGCTGTCTCTGGAGGTCTCCCTTGCCCTCAGCCTCCTCCTCAACCTGTTCTCGCAGATTGTCGATGTCGTGCTCCAGGTTGCGGAACTTTCCAAGGAGAGTTGCACGCTCCTGTAAGTTGGTAAGATCACTTTAGGATCTTTGAACAGCAATAGATTTGACAGCTACTGGTGTATTTTAAGTACCTATTCAGTCTATAATTTGACGTGCATATTTTAAAAACTTCAATCGGAATCGTAGTAATAAAATGTTGCATTTTCCATGGCAACTGTTCTGTTCTTACCCTGGACTCCTCGTCGGCCAGCCTCTTGGTGTCCTCGAGCTGGGTGGTGAGGGAGATCTTGATCTTGCTGAGCTGAGATACTTGAGACTCGGCCTCCTCCAGTTGGCGCAGAAGGTCGGAGTTCTCGATGCTCAACTTCTTCTTGGCGGCATCGAAGTCGTTGAGGGTTCGGTTGGTCTCGTCTAGCTTGCCCTGGACCTCGTTCAACTGTTGTTGCAGCTGCTTGGCGACCTTCTCTGTGGCAGCCTGTTATTGCGTAAATATCGCTTTAGAAAAGTTATCAAGATTGTTAGGGGTTTCACAAAGTCCACCTTAGGCATAATAAGGCCTACATTTTACGTTCTTTAAATAGGTATCATTTTAATATTATATTTTTTATTTTAAAAATAAAATATTAATGTATAATTGGGTTAGTTGAAGAGTACTGTTTTACATTCAAATCAATCGAAATGGAAATATTGGATATTATATGAGTGTTTACTTTTTTATTATAAAAACTCTGAATGTTGTTAAGGTTAATTAATAGTCTAAAACCCAACACGAAAAAAGCACTCGGACATCTGACAAAGGGGACTAACACACAATTTAGTGGGGCTGGAAATGTTATTTACAACAAAGCAACTATTTAAGTCCAATTTAGCTAATCTCCTTGCAGCTAAATCTAACTTTATGATAACATGTTTGTGTTAACTATTCTATTTTAACTGGTATTATTTTATGTAAAACAATGTGTTTTTATTCGCCAATCACGTGGTTATAGACATAAGCGAACTGAAGCGATGTTGGCTCTCCACTAGATATTAACGGCTCTACTCTAGTGTCAGCTAAAGCTTGGCAAGTGTGTGTTACTGTGCACAGCTGTTCGTTGTATGTTCTACCTTCTCGTTGGTCAGGTGGTCTACTCCCGCCCTCAGGTCGTTCAGCTCCATCAAGTACTGCTGCTTATCCTTCTCTGCTCTGTGCACACAACAAGGGGTCAAACAACACTCCCAGACAAACAGTGTGCAATTGTTTCAGCCTCGTCTGTTTATACCGACTCGCATGACAAAAACACGTACGGAATGTAATTTGTAAATATGTTGGAATTAAAAAATGAAAATGACTGTGTGTAATACCTTTGAAATAATAATGTACATCGAATAAATGCTCTGTAAGCTCCAAATAGCATAAATAAACCAGCTGTAACAGCGATAAAAGAGTACGAAGAGTGAATGAACACTGAAGGGAATCAGGAAACACATAGGTACTGCTGCGGCACTCGCTCGGGTCCACTGCAGTTACTGTAAGACAGAATGAGATAGTAAGGGGGGGGGGGTCGAGGGGGGGGGTCGAGGGGGGCCATGCTATCATGCTGTGGGTTGAGGGATGCGGGTACCTTCTCCCTGGTGAGTTGGTCGACGGCGGCGCGGGTGTTGTTCAGCTCGTTCAGCACTGAGTTTCGGTCGTGCTCAGCCCTAGATCAGCAAAACCATTTGAGACAACGGCCTTGTTAACTTTCAACCAATCTCTACAGAACTAATACACTCTGCCCGTGACGACTGGGTTACTATGAAAGATTACAGATTTGCGACAACCAGTTTACAACACTTTAGATATCATGACAAGTTGTACCTGAAATCATTTGTCTGCCAATGATCTAAAAATATGTGGTTCAAACGTAAATATTTTGACAACAAATATTATGTAAGTCTGTAAAATTTTTCTTGTTAAACCTAGACTAGTACACTTATAGTAAAATCCGTTTTATCCCTTAGAATATTGTACCCATTTAAGTAGTTATATGAATTTGGTGATCGGTTTTAAATATTTGAAAACTAAGTAGTAGAAATTTCATTTTAAAAATCCAATAAAATAACTATTGGTATTATGATTTAATATTTTTATGAGTAAAAAATTGTGATATTAATTTATACATCAGACTCACTTAGCCTTGAGCTTGTTGAGCTGGTCGATCTGCTCTCCCATCTCGGCGACGGCGTCGTTGTGCTTCTTGCGCAGGTTGGCGAGGGTGGACTCGTGTTGGATGTTGGCTTCCTCCAGGTCACGGCGGAGTTTGCTCATCTCAGCCTCTCGCTTCTTGTTGAGCTCGATCTGAGCTGAGGTGGCACCACCAGCTTCCTCCAGACGCTCGCCAAGCTCCTCCAGCTCTCGAGCGAGGTCCGCGCGTTGTTTCTCAGCCTTATTAAGAAACATAATCATATTATAAAGACGTAGGCCCAGTGACGTTCATTACCTATATGAACGATTTCAAAATAAATTTTCTTTTCTTATTGTTTTGGTTCAAAACACAATATTGTAATATTGAGCCTTGCGATGCTTCTGCAAGAGAGTAAACATGTTTTTTTACGTGGGATGACTTTTTAGAAACATTTGCTCTCTTAATGTAGAAGCTTTAGACATTCAGAAGATAAATTACTGAAACAAATTGTAAAATAAAATATACTAGCCCACATACCTTAGCCCTAGCCTGTCGTTCAGCCTCGACTTCTTCTTCCAGTTCCTCAATTCGTGCCTGAAGTTCCTTGATCTGTTTCTGCAGCTTGCCGACCAGAGACTGTTCATCCTCGAGCTTGGCGGTGAGAGAAGCGATTTCCTTGTCCTTGCGCTGAATAGTCTGTTCCAGTTCCTTCTTGTTGCGTTCCAGGTCGGCGACGGCTTCCTGAGTCAACTTCAGGTCACCCTCAACCTTCCTCTTGGTCTTCTCAACATCGCCTCTGTAAAATACGATAGTTTAATTTAGGTTATAAGTAATTTGTTATTTAGATTCTCAATGCTCCTATAAAGTATATAAAAATAACAAAACTGACTAAGCATCAAAATATTATTTATGATGGTAATAGTGTACTATAATGAGTACGATAAAAAATATAGTCGAATACAAATTTATACTCATTTACACTAACAAAGGTATACTAACAAAATCAATAACAATCCAGAATTCAATTTCTAACAACTCAATCAACTAGTGCCTTTATAAACATGAGTAAACCAGTGAGGATTTTGTTGCCAAATATGTACTATTACATATTACTGTATATATTTCCAGCAAGCAATACATGTTAATATAAGAGTTGATCCGCTCAATAAATATGTAGTATGTAGTAGATAGTATTTTAGCTGTTGTCGACTTACCGCAGTTTCTTCTCACGTTCCAGGGAGTCCTCAAGTTCGTCCAGGGTCTGTTCCAGTTTAGCCTTAACCTTGTTGAGATGGTTGATCTTGTCCTCAGCAGCCTAAAGAAAAACAATGAATTAAATATTGAACTTAATTATTACTGATGAGTTAAGAGTGGTAAATTTGATGTGATAATTTCTCCTTTAAACTAGGTGAAATGTGCCGTATCTTCAAAAAGGGGGATTGGTCAAAGTTGTTAACTTGCCTGCAGTTCCTCAGCGGTTTTCTGAGTGGTCTCTCCCTGCAGCTTCTTCTCCTTGTTAAGCTTGTTAATGAGCTCATCCTGGTGGGCAATCTCGTCGTTGAGGTTGCGGATTTGGTGATCCTTGGTGGCCTTGTCCTGGTCCGACTTTTGAACGGCGAGTTCCAAGTCTTCGATGTCCTTCTTCAGACCAGCGACTTCCTGTTCCAACTTCTTCTTCTGCTGGAACAGTTGGTTTCTGGCATCCTCCTCCTGCTGAAGTCGGTCTTGGGTGTCCTGTGGAAACCAATGAAAGTGTCAAAATAGTTTTGTTTGATAAATTTATTCAGGATAAAGGTAGGTAGGAAGTTCGTATTTTCTAAAAGTTGTCATAGCTATGAAAAAATCAAGTGTTTAATGAATACATTGATAAAGCTTCTTATCGAAATTTTTTTTGATGTTTATGATAAATATATAAACGAACTTTACAATTATTGATTCTAGTATGCAAGTAATTACTAAATACCAGGAATGAAAGTAGTGTAAGTCATGCTGTTCTGCATCTACCTGAATTATATTAACTACTTAAAGGTAACTTACTTATGTTATCATGTTTTTAATAACTTTAATATTTATCTACCTTTAACATCATGAAGCATTACAGTTATTATTTCAGATGTAGGCTGCATTGACAATATTAACATAATGCTTAATAGATTCCTCTTTTAAAGATATTTTTTTATTAAGAAATTAATACTTGTTTATGTTTACTTTAAATTCACAGCATTAAGAGTTGATATTGTATTTTAATAAATTTTATAAGTGTTATGATATTGTACACATTAAGCCTAACGGTTATAACTACTTGGCTATATGGCTTATTTATTCGACCTCATAAAATATAATTCAGTGGAGCAAAGCGAAGCTCTTCGGGCTGCAATGCAAACTTTCGAACACTATCACTCAATAACGACTGAACATAATTTAGCCAAACTTACCAAAGTGTATTTCGACAAATGTATGGAAGGTAAAATTTATAGGGGAAAAATCGGATGATGGCCTTTTATCAAATATTATATAAAAAGTATCACACGCCGTTTGGAAACTACCACTAAATATAATTTTGAATCTCGTCTAATATAACCAAATGTGTTTGATAGAATGAAGGCAATACTAGTTACGAAGTTTTAACCTTAAGTTGATTGTGTTTTCTCTATCGCATAATTGATACAGTTTAATTGAAAGCGAGGCCTCAATAATCATTTAAACGGAGCCCTCATATCCACCCATCGTTAAAGTCACTATTATAAATTAACTGTTGTACTCTGAGTGGCTGGGATCATTACTGCACCACTAATGAGGTGGTGTAATGAGGTAGGTAGGCCTACACGAGACTATTGGCACCAAGCCATTCAGATCATTAACAGACAATAACAGTTTGTCTAGAGCTAGAGACACTGCTCCATTCATACATTATACTCCAAATGGCTGGACTCTATCCAAATTGTCGGTGTCCCATTACAGGTTATGACCCATTTATTTACTACAATTGCATAGATCAGAATACGAGTACTGTATTGTCGGCTGTGTGATCAACGTTATCATATTGTACAGTTTTTTACTTTTTCGTTGCAACGATGTTTTGTGTATAAATAAAATTAACAAGGTCCTTAAAGGTGTTTATACATTCAATAAAATTATATATTATACTATTTTTAGTAATAGAATACCAATCAAATTCAGCACTCACTTAATTACTAATTCATAATAGCCATAAGGTTCTACACTATGCACGATATGCAAAGGTAGACAAACATAATTTAGTAATTTGTAAAAATTTTAGTTTATTCCACGATTCAAGCCTAGTGTTAATTTGTAGTAATTTAGTCCAAACGAGACCTATTTCGAATTAGTTTCACACGCTTTTCCTGAACACTCTTAGTGAATACTTAAAACACTTATTTCACTTCGTCTATTTAAGCTTCCGCAGCAAATAATTCATAAATTCGTGTTAAGGCCTACAGCTTGTCATAATGTATTGTTGTTTCATGGCTCAGTAAGAAGAACAGGCATATTAAACATAGTGAGTCAAGTTTCTCAATACAGAATTGAAGTATGGAAACTGATACATAGAATAAACTGATACTATAGAATAAACCAAAGAATTATATCGGAACAAACTGGGTCATCGTGAATCAAAATTTAATGTAGTCCAGTAACGTTTAAGCACAACAGTTCAGTCGACATAATAACCGGAAAAGGAATCAGATGATGTATAATCGGGAAAGGGAATCAAATGATTTTGTTAGGTGTAATTTACAAAAATGGAGGATGAACTGATGTCAAGATGTTAAATGATCACCTGGGAGTCGGTCCAGTCAGGCGTTTCTCTCACAGCGCTCGTGTTTAGGTTTTACATTTGTCACTACAGTCGGACCGAAATAAAACCGCATAAACCGCGTTGAAGACCCAAGACCGGGTGTCCAGGATGAATCGCTCTCATCAATAACCACGAAGGGATGGTGGGGGAGGGGCTAATTATACCAGACAGGTGCTTGCAAGGACCGCCTCGCTATTTATATACCCGGGTGCGGAACGATATGAATTAATTAATTGGTGATTTGAACCGATAACCTGGAAACTGGAAACTGGCCTAACGGTTACCGTGGGTAGAACCTTATGACATTTTGAGCTCATTTGAAACAAAAATATTTGTTAGAATTGTACTTATTTTTACCCATAAACTTTAAATAGCGATAGCTATTGATTTATGATTTTTATAAATAAATAGAAGTATTATTAGATTACTATACTACTATAAAGTATATACTTTATTAGCATTTTAAGGCTGAAACCAAAATTACAAAAATCTAAAAATATCTCCTTGAATTGTATGTAAATTAATAAAAAAAAACCCCAATCCAAAATCCTAGGAAGATTTTAAATCCGCTCCAGAAGTTCAGTGTGATAATAAAGGCAAAATTAAGAACCAGCTTTCTATCATTTATACCATCGTTCATATCATTTGCCGCTCGGATGCGACAAATTTACGGAACGTTGATGTGTTCCATATTTCTAGACGGAAATAATGTTTTGGTGGAGCGAGGAATTACAAATTCCAGACATGATATGTGGCGCCAGAAATACCCTAGGTGAGTCAACTGGAGTCAGGCGGTGTCGCGTTACTGCCACCGCTCGCAATTTATTGGTTTAACAACTCATTTTTACTTTTATATATGTGTGTGTGTGTGTGTGTGTGTGTTTAATTTTATGCGTATCGTACATACTTTATATTCTGGTCCGGCAAGAAATTACGTTAAGAGTCTTAACATTTATGGATATTTAATGTGCTCCCGTGTTAATTAAACTATTAAATTACCTTGCTTAGTAGGATCTAAATAGTTATAAGGAAAAAAGGTTTTTTGGTTGTTTTTTACTGATGAGAAAAAATAAATATACATACATGAGTCCTAATATTGGTTGCAGATCGGTTTTTATCAGTTTTAGATTACTATTATTAAAGAATTATGTAATTCAAATTCATGTAATTCTATTATACAATGTAATCACACTATAAACTTTCTGCTTATTACGTTACCAAACCTCAAACCCTTTAACTTAAATAATAGGCAATATCGTTACGACAAATTTAACGACTGGTTGTTCCGATGAAAAATGTGTTAAAGCATATACTTTTAAACAGTTTTATGGTAATTACTAGTAGGTCACCGACACAATCTATCCGCATGAGAAATAAATATGCGTTATTAAAAGTGCACAATAGATAGCAGTGTGATCTGTACTCACCGCAAGCTGACTCTCCAGATCAGCCTTCTGGGCAGCGAGCTTGTTGGCTCTCTCCTGGATGGAGCTGAGTTCTCCCTTCTCTCCTTCCAAGTTCTTGAGCAGGTTGGTCTTTTCCTCGAGTAGCTTGGCGTTCAGAGTCTCGACTTCCTTGCGGGCCTTTGCCTCCTTCTTGTACGCCTCCTCGGCCTTGGCCACCTTCTCCTCGAGTTTCTGCAACAAGTCCTCACCGTCAGCCATGGTCGGTCGGGAGCACACCGCGGCTACGAGTGTTCGCAAGTTAGAGAGTCAGGAGCGGAGGCAGAGGTGGAGGTTGGTGGAAGGGGGACCTCGAATTTAGACAGAATCGGTGATATTAGAGTTTTGTGAGGGGGGATGTCAACAGTGACGGAAATAGCTTACCCTCATCTCCTCCTCCACGTTTTGGACGTTGAGAAGAGGCTTGACCTTCTGCCACATCTTCCACCAGGGCCAGGTGCGCAGGGACAGGTACTTGCGCAGATTGCGCTGTACCACCTGCAGGGCCAACCTGTAGGCCAACCACACAATCAGTCGTAAAACCTTCCTTTGTGTTCAATCACATTTTAATGCAATGGTTTTTTCAACGTGTAAAAAGGCCTGGCAAAAGTATACAGAGCGGGGTTTCATCCAGCTAAAGTGCCATAGTTAAAATAGTTTAAACAGCTTTATAAAATGTTTGATAATTTCACTAAGAATTATTAAGTAATTTAAAAAAATTACAAGATTTGTTACTATCTAATATATAAAATTTTCGTGTAAAAAAAAGGACGATAATACTAAACTGTATATAAAAAATATACATTTATTTCATTTTATTGAGTTTATTAGTTTAATTTTTAAAGGATTGTTCAACAGCGTATTAGTGGTTTTTCATATACTATATTACATGATCTTAAAGAGATACTATGTGCAGTTTTTTTGCAAGATTTTTATGCGGTATTGCTAAAATTAAAGAGGTAAATAAAGTTTGTAATCTTTCATTAATAAGAAGCTAACCCTAGAAAAAATTAATTTTGCAGAAAACATTGACGTTATAAAATATGACTATAGGATCCTGATTTGATTGAATTTAAATATTCATAAAGTTTGGAGGTGGGGAATGTGATCCCCAAAGTTGGCTTCGTGTCACCATTCGATGGCATGGAAACGATAACCACCCTATTAAAAGAAACTAATCGCCTCCCAGTATTAATAGTTTGGAGCACAGGTATTTTTACAGGTCGTACAACTCACCCGTCTAATTTTGGCCTTACCTTAACCAGCCATCATGACCAGTATACTCGTCATTTTTAATAGTTTTAAATATAATAGGTTTTGCAGCTATTGGCTTGAGAATTGTCTCTAAGGAAAAACTGGAAATCAGTGAATTGGAGAAGATATACAATAATTAATATGATAATAGTTTTGTTACTATAATACTAGTTTTCACATTTTCCTTGCGGTTTTGGGTAGCAATTTTACTAAAACTGGGTTTCTCGTTTATTACTCATAATTATCAAAAGTAAATACCAATTACAATTTCACCAGAGTTAGAGTAGTTAAAAAGTAAATTTTGATTATTTTTGAAACCTGATAACTTGCCATGAAATTTTGGCAGTTTTTTGTGGGTACCGTCGATCTGTTATTATATATACAAAGTGTTATTGAACGTATTAATTTTAAAACAATCCACGAAGCTAGGCGATACACCTCACTCTCACCATTAATTATGGAAATACACATAGTTAAGTTTCCAAGTCAATATAATTGTTAAAATACAATTTAAGACTATTAATTCCATCAAATGTAGAACGAATATTTGTAAATACATTTCTAGTAATAGTTATTATTATGACAGGTTTTCTGGCAACAAAGTTTTCATGTTTGGTTTTTAAGTCATATTTTATAATATAGTCATGGTATTTTGAAATGTTACCTCCACTCTCTACCTATAAATGCCACACGTGTTTTACCTTCGATCACATTAAATTTTCGTTAAATAATAGATTTTTTTGTTTATAATTTTATGCAAATCAGAAATTAAGGATGTTAATAGATTTATGTAAATAGATTGGAAAGTGTATCAACACATTTTCAACAGTGAAATCCCTAGAGGGCCTCTACTCAGACGTCGTCGTCGGCCTGTTACTCTGAGATCATTTTACATTCCGGATTATTTATAGATTTATTTCCTCAGACAGACTCAGATTTCTGTCACGTTTTCCTACCTCTGTTCCTGCAACTTCTTGAAATCCTTTCGGCTAAGGTAACCTCTGATGTAGGACTGCATCCATCCCATGATCTTGCCCAGACGGTCGTCTCGCAACTCCTCCATCTGACCCAAGACTCCGGCACGGAAGAACACCTATACCCACCCAACCCGACACAACAGTCAGCAAATATACTCTAATACAATGATATTTCTCTAAAAAACAACATTGCATTTTAATAATTATTAATTCGTCAATTCAATGAAAACTATCAAGTCTATCTGACGATTTACAAGTAAAAAAAAACTTCTACGAAAAGTAAGTACAAATTATATTTACATACACTTACAAATAGGACTTTTTTAACATAGAAGGTCATGCAACACAATATGTTTATTTTCACAAATAAACGTGCAGAGAAAGGAGTTGTTTAGCGAAGGTAAGGGGTTTCAAGATTAGGTACATGAAGAGAGTCTCGCGTAGAGTCAGAGGAGAAATATTCTGGTGCACTCTCAAAAAGGAAATTTCTGTTAATTACCTTAATAGGTAAGATTTTATCATACAATTTGATGGATTAGTAAAACATGGACAGACCGATAGAAACTATCTCAATTTTTTAAATTTGTTTCATAATGTCGGGGTTAATGAATGTTTCTAAATGAGGCGATTGTATCAAAACAATGAAAATCTATATTTCGAATATAGTGAAAGAGGAAGTTAATGGTAAATGTTTGGATCAATATTTCATCTTATTGATGAACAGAAATAATCACAAAAACATTATTGACCTTTCTAATTTGTCAAAAGTATAATTAAACCAAAACTTAATATTTCACGACGACGGTTCGGTTTACGCGTAAGCTTACCAAACTGAAAATATTCACATCACAATTGTATGGATTTGTTCTAACAGTTTATTTTGCCTACCTAATGTCATAGCCTACCATTTTAGTATAAACAATATATTTTGGTATACATCGATTTCGTATTTTACCATGTACAGTATTACTAATTGAACCACCATGACCATGTACTTTCTGTACAGGTTATAGGTTACTCTATGGTGGGGACGAAGGTTTTCATGGACGAACTGATTTAGATCAGTTTAATTTACGCGACATAACGCACGTCTGTTCGCGAGCCAACGCGACCGCATTAGCCAGTTCCGTTTACGCAAGACGCCCAATTTCATGTGAGATATAGTGCGGCCTCGGCTTAGCGTGTTTACACTACAGTATACGACTGGAAGATATTCCCGACATTAGACCCAATGGACGTGAGTGCAGGATGTTGCTTTATCCGCCTTCTTATTTTATTTTTAGTGTTACAGCAATTTTAATAGTTAATTTCTCTTTATGTTTCTTGTATACGTAATCTAGATGGAATAACGGAAGTGTTTTTATTGTAGTTATTTCAAATGAATTTAGTGTAGTTAATATGAATTAAAGTAATTAGGATATTATTGAGCTTAATTACATTACCAGTCTTCTTACACAAACCACCGCATTTCTCAAACTTCAAAAAATGATTTTACGCCAAACATGTGTGAGCAAGTTCAAGTCTTATATGCTGTCGTTTTATTTATTTGAGTAAATAGGATTTTCATAACAAATTTTTCCGCGTGTAAATGTACTTATTTGGATAAATTGTTATTCGGAATTAAAGATGTCACCGTTTTGTGAGCTTCAATGCTATAAAATATAAATACTTAACAATTCTTGGAGATTAAGGTAGTTAACATTGAAAATATTTAAAAAAAATCATCTTTATATACTGAGCAAGGTGTATTAATTTAAAGTAGCCGGTGGGTTTTAAGTACTTCTAAAAACAGTTACAGTTTTACAAACCTCTTAGGCCCAATTCACACCGAACGGACGTCGGGCGGAGACGTGGCACGGACGTGGCGAGGACATATGTCCGTTCCTCGCCTCCCCATGTAAACAAATTGGTCAATGCACACACAAGTGACGTGGCGCGGGCGGCCGCCCTCCCGCCACCGCCACGTCGCTTCGGCGTCCCTCGTGGCGTATCGGAAGTGGCATGTCCGTAGCGCGCCCGTTGTTCGGACTGCAAATATTGTACTGTACTTACCAACCTTCTTGTGTAGAGTGTGCTTGTACTTACCAAATTTCCTGTGTAGAGTTGTTTTTGTGTTTATATTGTGAGTTGTTTCTTCACTATGCGAGACGACATTGAATTTAATATAAAATTTTGTGAGGAAGTAGAACAATTCCCTTCTTTGTACTAATTAATTTGTCAGAAATTAACTAACACCATTGACATTAATAGAAATAAGCAAAAACCAAAGCGTCTAGTCTACATACAGGTTGTCTCGCCACTGTACCGTCCCTTCACCGTCCCTTCGGTGTGCATTGAACACGCCACGTCACTGCCACGTCTGTGCCTCGTCCGTGCCACGTCTCCGCCCGACGTCCGTTCGGTGTGAATTGGGCCTTAATCACGACTTAACAACGTGCGTAGCCTTTTTAAGTATTTTTACCATGTCGTATGTGTGGAATAATTTATAAATCTATAAATAAATATTTGTTGTACGTAAATTATGTATTTTTATCGAATCATGTTGAAATAATACTTTTGTATGTTTCGTTACCCATTGACATCCAAATACGTAAAAAATTACTGAATGAAATTATGTAAAACCCCTAAATAGAACAACTGTATTTATTTTAAGGTCCAAACTGTCAGACAAAAATATACAAATGATGTATTTATTATCAGTAAACCACAACACTGATTACAAATAATCTACCTGTTACCCACGGGCTTCACCCCGTTGACGTCATAAGTGTATAGTTAATGGTATTAACAAAACTATTGATTGGATAAGTTACGCTGAAATAAACAAAACAGAATACAGCAATGCAAGTAAATAATCACACATGATTTTAATAAGTTGATAAATTGAAAGAATAAAATACAAATCAGGTGAGGTATTTTTAACATTAGGTATGTGGAAAGTTCCCTCTGGAAAGGAATACGACTTTAAAGGGCAATTTATGAAATAATGGATAGTTTTGCGCAAGGTTTCTCGTCATGACGAACATTTTAAGTATATAGTTTATGAACGTGTGACTTGTATTTATCTCAAAAGTTCATGGGTACTTTGTGATTTATATATGGATTTCACAGTAGATTTATTTTATAGAAAGTCGCACAGTCAACCAATAATCAAGATTACAAAACTGTAAACAGGCGGTTCTTTTTAAGAGTAATATTCCCGAAAAGTTGAGATAGTGTAAACTTGAGTAATAGATTTGGTTTACAAAGTGTTATTATTTTTTAGACATAATAATTATTCTCGAAGATGAAAAAATCATATACTGTATACACGTTTTGACAGCATATTTACTGTCAAATTTGTACGAGATACTTTAGTGAGCCGATTACATTCACAGTTAATATTGCTGACATAGTAGTGTGTTATACAGTTGAACAAACTCATGAAGAATGGTTATATATATAGTAATTCAAGTTGCATCTGACGTACGCACAGAAGCGAGGGCAAGGAAGGGTACCCTTAACCTACCTTGGTATGACCCATGCGGTACTGTTCAGGTTCCAAAGAAGGAATAGATTCAAGGATGGCTTTAGCAGCTTGTTCAGGAGTCATAGTCGGAGTTACTGCTTTGGCGTTCAGAATTTTGTATCTGAGCACGAGAGGAAGGGGTAAAACCAACACATAATACACTACAATAGACATCTTACAACAGTTGGTGTGTGCTACTGATTGTGAGATGCTAATACACTACTCATGCTTAAATCTACAAACTATCTACAAACAACAGCAACTAGTCTGCAACTCCATCGGCTTTGTTGACCTATACAGTACACCACACCTCGGTAGTCAGCCGTGTCTACAGGGACTTCCGAGATTAGTGACATGAGTTAGTCACATGTTTGACACTGATCAGTGGATAACTGCAGAAAACACAGTCTGAGAAATGTTACGCTTAAAATAGAACAACTCGCAAAAAGTAGGTATTTTATTATTTCGTAGCTTTACTGACACCAATAAAACAATCATAAAATTTAATATGGATTCTATACCATTTATACTAATTTAAGAAAATGCAGTCCAAGATATTTGTTGGTGTGTTTTGTGTTTTCTGCAGTTCGGGACACAGGGGTACATGCCTTAGTGTGACCCAGACGGTAACTCTCGGGGTTCAACTGAACACTCTCTAAAACAGCTTCTGCCACTGCTTTCTCTTCTGCTCCAGAAGCGACAAGCTTGTCAACGACGGAAGGAGCAAGGATCTTGTACCTAGCGTGCAGGAAAGATTGAATGAAACATTCCGTGCTAGGATCAAAACCTCTACTGGTTCGGGGGCAAAGGGCAAAACTACCCAACTGGCAAAGGGATAAATCTCTAAAGCTTATCAGCGAAATGTTCCAAGATACTGATAAGCGGGGTCACACGGGTGCAAGGGTCAGGACAACCTTGGTGTGGCCAATCCTGTAGCTCTCGGGGTCAAGTTTAACTTCCTCAAGACACTTGGCAGCGGCAACCTTGGGGTCAGCCTCAGCAGCCATGGTAGCAGGAGCTAGGATCATGTATCTATACCCACACACACAACAAACTTAGTCCACCTTCTACATTCAACACACTTCAACTTGGAATCCAAGATACAACTGAATCAGCCAATTTAACTTGCTGGATCTGTTACTTATTATCAAATCAACACAACATGTAGAAAAATGGAATTAAAATGTCATTTTTCACACTATTCTTATTTAAATAAATTTCAAAGGTAATATATTTAAAGCAATATATAATTATTAGATTAAACTTTTAATAATAAATTGGTCATCCCATTTTTTATAATTTCATGTCCAATAAGCAAAAAGATTTTAAAAAATTGTCAAAAGTTGTATTACAATTCTTGTATGACAAATTTAAAACATTCTGATTTAAACTTCATATTACAACAATTTTAATATAAAATTGAAACAATTTTAAAACTGTTTAACAATCAGTTTTTTTCCTGTCAAAAAAGGTTTTAATACAAGTTATAACTATTTTACAACAATTTTAATATTGTTTAGCAATCAGTTTTATCCAGTTTAAAAAAAATATGTTTTAATAAAAGTTGTAACTATTTTACAACAGTTTCAAAATTATTAAGCAATCAGTTTTTTGCAGTTTAAAAAATTAGTTTTAATACAAGCTGTAACCATTTTACAACAATTTTCATATTGTTTTATACTTAGTTTTCTAATAAGTTGTTTAATCACAGTGTAAACAATTTTAAAACAATTTTCTAAATAATATTTAAATTATTTAGAAAACTATTTAATAATTGCTTGTGCAGCTCTTAAAATACAAGTTTCAACAATTTGACAATAAGCAAAAAATTGTTAAAAATTGTCAAAAGCTGTATTACAATTGTTGTATGCCATTTTGGTTTAGACTTCATATTACAACAATTTTAATGTAAGATTGAAAGTCTTTAAATTGTTTAACAATCAGTTTTTGCAGTATAAAAAATAGGTTTTAATACGAGTTGCGACTATTTTACAACAATTTTAAAATTGTTTTATTCTTAGTTTTTCTATAAACAATTTTAAAACAATGTTTAAATTGTTTACAATGCTATTTATTTAACAATTATTGTTTGTGTAGTTCTCAAAAAACAAGTTTCAACAATTTTGAAATCAATTTTTTAACATTTAAATTGTTTACAAAACTCTTAAACAATTATTTTGTAGTTATTAAAATACAAGTTCCAACAATTTTGAAATAAATGTTTAATTTGTTTGATTATTTATGTTTAATCTTAATAATTAATGGGTTGTATCCCATTTATGGCAGTTTTTAAATTTGCTTGCATTTAATTTTGATATATACTAGATAAATAGGTTTTATCAACCATGTTTAAATAACAGTTTATAATGTTTAATTTTTTTTAATTGTAATTAAACAATGAAATGAAGTAATTGGAAAAGTACTTATTAAAATACGTAAAAAATTCGGTTTATTGTACAGGTTAAGCATGGCAATTAAATAATTCTTCTTATAAAGAATTTTTTTAATATAATACAATTCTTTATAATTTCGTAGTAGTTATTACATTATGAATATTAAATTAATTGAATAGGTAAATTCATTATGCATAAGTTACCGATTTTTGTGATAAGTTACCGATGACGTTAATTGTGATAGTTGTGATACTAGATACAGTGATGGAACACCTGCTTAACATAAAATAATAATAATACTAATAATGCAAATATTTTTGTTGTTTTTTTTAGTTATTTGAGCAAATTTTTAGTAGTTGAACAATTTAAAGGGGGAGGGATGAATTAATCATATAACAATTATTATAATAACATTAGCAATGATAATTAATTCATCTATATTCAAATACCGGTATCCTCCTCAAATCCTAGAAAATCAATTCAACAACTTGATGCCTAAACATAATCATAGTATCAAAAATATTAAGTATTGCAACCATTGCAATTATCGGCTCCTCTTTGACCGATTGAAAACATGAAAATCAACAACCACAGATAGCTCTGAGGTAAGTTAAGGGGTTCCCAAATTGGAGGTCTTGGGTTGAAGACCTGGTGGGGGATGATAATTTTGATTTTAGTTTTTTTTTCAAAATTAGTTTTTATGAACTGTTTAATCAAAATTCTCAACTGATATATATGCATTTCATACAAAATCTTAATTATTTCGTGTTTATGTAGAATATGCCCATGGGATGGTTGGTCCTATGTGAAAACAATTTTTAACTTGTTGCAAAGTCAATTTTAAAATTGTTGTAAAAACAGTTTTCAAATTGTTGTAAAATTGTTACAATATAGTTGTAAAACAGTTTTTAACTATTGTAAAATGTGCTGGTTGTCAACTATACTCATATCTAACAGTTTTAATATAAGTTTAAAATTGATATAAAAACAATTTTTGATGTTTGTTATCATTCACTTATATCTAATATTTAAATTTTTTAGCTAACCTAAGGTTAAACATGTATATGGAAAGCCTACTATAAAGTGAACTGTAAAAATATTCTTAGGTCTACAATTAAACTGTAAAGTTTTTTTGCAGATTGTATATTTGACTGGATGGATTTGAACAAACAGTTTAGGTACAATAAGAGCAAATACTCTATCCGCAAGATTCAAACATTATGAAACTTACCGTTGCTTGAAGTCAGGGTATACCATCCTGTTGGGGAATCCCTTACGACAGATACGGATACCTTCAAGTACACCGTTACAAGTGAGCTGGTGCATAACTAGATGAGAGTCAATGACACCTGGGAACAGACAACGAGACAAACAATCATCTCTGCCTGGAAAATATTTATAAATCTTGATTGGTCTTTAATAGCTCTTGAGGATGATAAACTAAGTAATTAGTTTGATAGTAACTAGGTTGATAACTAGTTTGATTTAATAAAATGTACATTTAATTCGCGATTACTCACCAGGCTGCTTCAACTCGTTGGGAATGATACAACGTACGAAGTGAGGCTGGGTGCTCCTCAGAGTGGTCATCAGGTTGTTCAATTGTTCCTGTAGGGAAACGAGAGAAACATAACTTTAAGATTGTTTGATTCAACAGTTTTATAGGTGTGGCTAATTGGAGCTTTGCAAAAAATATATGTTGGAAACTTCAAATATGCTAAACAATCAGAACCAGAACAATTAGACTTTACGTTAAACAAACTAAATGTAATTTAATTCAGGTCCAAAAAATACATTTTCCTTCAATTAACAGATGTTATCTTTATATTTCTAAATCGTTTGTGTAATTTAGAAAAAGTGTCAAGATATTTGACAACGACATGTATTATTATTTTTTATATCTGTAAAGAGCATGCATGCATTAACTCTATAAGGAGATGGTAAGTAGGATTCACTCACACACAGTCTACTAAAAGCCACGTTTGTGTCCTGCACATTTTTGTGGCGGAAAGGGTTCTGGGCGGTCAAAAATCTAAGTGTACCCGATTATAATAAATTACATGAGGTGGTTTAGGTTTAACTGATTGACAACAATGAATGATACATACATCTGTTTACATGCAATGGGGTCGAGATCGTAACTATCTGTATGCTAGATATATGTACAAGCAATGTTGGGGTAGGTCCAAGCTGGGCCATGTGTTTCCGTTTTTTACGGTTCAACACGCGTTCGGCCATGCAGGTGTCTTCACTGAGAAAACTGTCAAATAAAAGTTAAATTAACTGATATTTGTAGAACAAACTACTTTTATACAGCCTGTGTGATATTTTTAAAATAGTTTCGATATTGAGTTGATCTTATTTAACAGTGAAGGCACCTGATGAAATTCTTTATCAAACAACAACGTCACCATCGCAATGTCAGCTGATTACTTTGTAAGATGAAGATACGGTAGCGAAACCACCACCCTTCTTTCCTCGGCCACCTGGTGTTAACAAAGAATCTGTGTAACTTATCTATCGCTTAACTAAAGCTCACTTTTTCTCTCGCATTCTTCCACTCATACTGATACATTGGGGATCTCGAGTGATCTTCAAGAACATAATAGACTATCTTCATGGACAGGTACAATGAAGAGCGTATCAAAGAAGGATATTGGACATTTTAAACGGGAAATTGGAGAAAATAACACGGTATAGTTTTATAAAAACAAATCGAACACTTGACCATCTATTTATACCACCAGTTATACTTCTTAATCCGCCCCTTGCAAAAGGTCAACCAAATAAAAAAATTGGTCCACTTACAGAGAAATTGTTGAAATATCATCGTACCTTGTCCAGTATTTTGGTCTATAACCAATAATTTAAGTTTTATTTTTGAAGACCACTCAGAAAAGGAATGCCTTGGAGGCTAGGCTTTGTAGTAACTGTATTTACCTTGTATAACATGGAGACAGTTAAGAAACCTGAACCTTTTGTTCTCTTTCCACCTGTTAAAAGAGAAATTCCAATAATTCAAACTTATTCCACGTCTCGGAATGGCACTTTTTTGATGCAACTGAAGCTAACACAGCACGTCGTAAAGAGAAAAGCAATAAAGAAAGCTAGCCGTTATGTAAATTGCAGTCTGCTCGTTAAACTAATATTAGAAGAAAGGGGAGACAAAGCAGTCAGAATTCTAGCATTTAAAAATTATCGTCAATCAATATAGTTATCAAAACAAATCGCATAAATTGAAATATAGATAACTCGTTAAAATAGAAGCGTTATGTTTTTATTTTCTAACTAATCAGGTTATTTATGACAGGGAATAGTTTTCAGCGTTGTTTTAAGCGGATTTATTGAAGATCGGAAGCGAACTAACATCGAAGTCGTTAGTGATAGCAGTTACAGAGCAGAAGTAAGTACTACAATAGTGTGACATTTTGGAGCACAGAAAAAGAGGAAACTGATAGTAGAAGTTTATCGTAACATACCAAACACTCTCTCTCTCACACATATCCTAAAGATAGGTACTACAACAAACATAAATATAGAACAAGTCATTTATCTACGTAAGTATGAAGGGAATCACGGAAAAATAATGTTTAGGTTACTTCGTCAGTCCATAAAGTTAGATATATAGATTTAGTTGGAAAATATATCAATACAAAGTGTCTAACAATTCAATCTCTTAATCTTATTACAAATGATCACTTGTATTGTTGTTTAGTTATGTTATTAAATCTGAGATCTGTGGTAAGAGATTACGGGTACCCACCTATAAACTATGATGTGATTTGATAAACATTGCTGGATTCATTAAAATTCGATTTCAACTTATACAATGTGTGAAACAAATGTCAGCATGCTAAGCTACACATTTCCGATCTTTCCTAGAACCCTAAGCTCTAGCACGGAACCGTTTTGCACATTGCTTAAGCTAGGCTAGATGGTTGCGGAATTTACTACACGCCTAAAGTCATTGGAGATTGTATTTGAAGCCCTGCGCTTTACCACTAGACCAGCTCGTTCGCCAAAACTTCGTATCAGAATAGAAATAAGATCGTTATCGGTTTTGAATTTAAACTTTTTCAAACCATGCTACTGGAATTCTGTTGTACGTACATGGACTCAGTTGGTGATTCGTGTATTAACATCAAACTAATAAAAGTAAACTTAATATCATATAAACTTTTTTCACACAAAGATCTTCAAATACACCGCTATTCTGTGATCCAATATTTTACTATTTGTTTACAGTTTATACAGCGTATTTGACCCATTGACACCAGTACATCTTCTGATTCATCTTTTAGCCATATAATCATTACTGCTGATACCTACCCTTGCCACCGCCACCGGCGTCAGCACCACCAGACTGTCCAGGATGGTCGGCGAAGATCTCACACAACAGGGCGTTCTTGCCCTTCTTGAACTGGTCGACCACGGTGTCGTTCAGAGGGTCCTTGTTCTTCTCAAGCCATCCAGAGATGTTGTAAGATACCTGAAGGCAATTATACGACAAGTTGTTATTTAAGCCTCAACATACTAGAAGCATATTGTTTGAAATTAGCATAGAACCTGAGTAGCTTTGATAAGGAGGTCAATAATTGTCAAAGGATACTTACAACACCAGCGTAGTGACCGATGGCGAAGTGACCGGCTGGGCAGCCTGGCTTGGGAGGTTTGGGCTTCTGGAAGTTGGGAGACTTGCCCAAGTGGTTGTTCATTAACTTTTCCTCAAAGGTCTTGTCAGTGGCCTTGGGGAACATAGACTCTTCCTCAAGGATAGACAAGATACCCATGGGCTGAAAGAGACAGAGTCGCAAAGATTAAAAACACTGATCGGGTGGTAAGTTAAGTAGTTAGTGGAATATTACCATGCAAATTTTGAATAATAAATAAATTGTCTCACTAAATGAACATAATTTGAATTATTGTGCGTTTTTTTGACGGTTGTAGATATTGTAAATATAAAATATTATATCATTTTATAAAAATGTTGGTGATCCTTATAAAGAGATTACAATTTCTTAACTGAATGTAGCGAATTAAAATTAATAACATAATATATCAAATCGAACATAATATAGAGTTCTAAAAAAGCTTTTCAAGGCTGTCGATTTTTAAACATTACTTTCAAATAAATAAATAAAATAGCTTGTTACGTTTTCAACTTTAATCATCTTATTTTTTTATTACATTTTAAGATTGTGCTACAAAGCATAGACGTTTCATTGGAGGATCTGACTCTAGACAAGGTCGTTTCAACTGAAAATACTTATTCGTAATTACCTGACATTGAAGTTGAATTTCGTAGTGATTGAATACAACTAGGTTATATTTGTAATGACGATATAAGAGCGCAAAGCACTTCTACTTTACCTGATTACGGTTGGAACTGTAGCAACATAGCGTTGAAGGCAAATCACACAACACAGACATTACTACAAGTGTTAATTATAAGCTTATAAGGTTGTGGAAATGAGGTGGTTGTGGGGTGGATGAGCTGAATGCAGTAGTGGTCGAGATAACAGACGTCGCCTCCGGGCATTTATTTTCTTCAAAAAAAAAAATAAGAAATAAAACTACTGTCATAGACACTTGTTTTAGGACACGTACATTTCATTACTCGGAGTTGCGCTAGTGATAAATATATTTGATTAGTTTACTTTACGTTAAAAAATCTCACGTTCGTTTTATTAAATTATATAAGTTGGATTACTTTTTTTCAAATCAGCAGTAGTTTAATGGGAAAATTAAAAAAAAGAAGTAAGCTTTTACAAACGTTACTACACGATGTACTACAACGATGTACATTTTTAATACAAAAGTGCAGCAACATCTACTATTTAATGATAATAAAGCAGTTTTATTACAATGACTGGTCGACTTTTTCCAATCAAAAAAAGCTAATATATCAAATCTACAACGTGCACAAAACTACTTTTCAATAGCGAAAACCGCAGCTTAAGTCGGTACGTTTTTTAATTTGATTACGATACTTCCAGCGTTACTCGTTATCCTGAAGGCTGGCGATACAAGCGACGAACTAACAGTACCTTCTCAATTAAGTTGATGCAGGCTTGAAGGTCCATACCGAAATCGATAAACTCCCATTTAATTCCTTCTCGTTCGTACTCTTCTTGCTCAAGGACAAACATATGGTGATTGAAGAATTGTTGCAGCTTTTCATTTGTAAAATTGATGCATAACTGCTCGAATCCGTTAAACTAAAAAAATGGTAAAATGTTGTAATCGAAGAACTTGATGGGTGCTGGTATGGCAAGGATTACCGTGAGACACGAGTATTATATTTACGGCTACACAGATAGCAGCTAAAAGCTATACATTTTAGTACATTGCACGTGACGTACATTACATGCTAACAGCTAACGAAGAATTATACTCGACACCGAATCTAGCTAAAAGAATTAAACATTTTCAACTACTTTTAATGTGAGGGTTTTTTACACAGATCTAGGCTAGATTGACTCGACACAGACGGAGCTACCCGACACTTAAACTACCTTCTCGATAAGTTCAATTGTAGATAGAAGGTCCATTCCAAAATCGATGAATGTCCAGTGAATACCTTCTCGCTTGTACTCTTCTTGCTCCAAAATAAACATGTGATGATTGAAAAACTGCTGAAGTTTTTCATTGGTGAAATTGATGCACAACTGCTCGAACCCATTGTACTAAGGGTGGAAGGAAAAAGTGAATAGTAGGTAAGCATAGAACATCACATAAGCACGGTAGTCTCGGTCGGCTGATCTATAGTATCTTGCCATATCCAGCCGAGAGCTCAAATTAATTTTATTATAAAGTAAGCTAATCTCCATATTAAATATTTATTCAGAACTCGGCATGAATTACAATAACTGGTAGACCTTTACAACCAATGGCCAGTTGAGTGTATATTGCACTCTGCTCATAAATGTGGCAAGATACTCGGATCAACAACAGATGGGTTGAAGGCGTGCAGCGGCTCAACGCATGTCCTTAATGCGCTTTACCTTCTCAATAAGTTCAATGCAGGCAGCTAAATCCATGCCAAAGTCGATGAAATTCCACTCGATGCCCTCACGAGTGTACTCTTCTTGTTCCAACACAAACATGTGATGGTTGAAAAACTGTTGAAGTTTCTCATTGGTGAAGTTGATGCAAAGTTGCTCAAATCCGTTGAACTATAACGGGTTACACACATAAACATAAAATGAAAGTCCCGTTGAGAGGGATTTGTGAGGGTAAAAAGGTGATCTCGGTAGCAGCATGCTCGGCCCTGTCAACATGCTTGTGAATTGTTATTCTCCAATGCGTTAGTTATATGAATATGAAAGGATAGGTTACAGAAGATTAACCTTACTACGACTGGCCATGTCGCTATACCTTTTCAATAAGGTCAATGCAGGCAGCTAAATCCATTCCAAAGTCAATGAAGGCCCATTCAATACCTTCTCTCGAGTACTCTTCTTGTTCCAACACAAACATATGGTGGTTGAAAAACTGTTGAAGTTTCTCATTGGTGAAGTTGATGCAAAGTTGCTCAAATCCGTTGAACTATAACGGGTTACACTCATAACAATACATGACAAACAAAACATGACACATGGAAACCCCGTTTGATCGGGCTTTGTCAGTCGTATATTGGTAAAAACTGTGATTGGCTGATGTATGTAAGACAACTTCCTCCCGTCGACCTGGGTGTTATTGTTTAGTACAAGGAAGCACATGTAGGAGGACAAAGAACAAAGATAGTATCATGCGGGGAACAAAGGATTGTAAAAGTATAATATTTTACATATGTGCAAGAAAAGAAATGGATCCAAACGAAAAGTGAGATGAAAGTGTATTTGATAATTAGGTTACATGTTTATCTAAAGTTTTAAATTAGTTCCAAATCCAAAAACTATGTTAAACAATTGTTGTTTAATCGAATCGCAGACGGTGCTTTGTTATTAGCTTTAGCTGTAACTCTGAAACCTAGATCTCTATAACGTAGTTTTTTTTCTCCGAATATTACGCTATTAGACTTCGAAATTTAATTTATAACCGTGATAGAAAACCACACGTGCAACTCTCTTTAAAATAGAGTATAGAACGGATCACGTATCAGAAATTTAGTTAAAAAAATAATATATTAACAAGGGATAAAATTTACAAGTAAACTACAAAATATCTAACTACAACATTGATACAATTTTGGTATACGAGGGTTCCTAAAATAACTACTTGGTCCATCAAGTCATTGTATACTCTACATTTTACCTTTTCGATAAGTTCAATGCAAGCGAGTAAATCCATCCCAAAGTCGATAAACGCCCATACTATCCCCTCTCGGGAATACTCTTCTTGCTCCAAAACAAACATGTGATGGTTGAAAAATTGTTGAAGTTTTTCATTTGTAAAGTTGATGCAAAGTTGTTCAAATCCATTGTACTGATAGGATTAAAATCAAAATGTTAACTGGTCACACATACACAGATTATATAGCTAATTTAATAAGAAATAGAATTCGTTAATAATTATTTGAAGCTTAACCAGTGATAAAGACTAAACAAGAAGCATAAAGAAAGTGCATAGAAAAATTAAGCAAAGCAAAATTCAAAAATTAATTTGAAAAAGGTTTAAGAACAAGTTTTTAGACAAACATTCTTAAAAAATGCTATATGATTGATGCGTTCTCACATAAAAGTCAAAGCCAACACAAAGCAGCAGTTTATCCCAGATCTCCAGGTCAGTGACACAAACACTTTTTCCGCCTTGGATACGTTGCAATAGTTGGAAAAGAAACAAAACATTCCAAGATGATAAACATTAAGAAATGTGCAATAAAGAATAATGCAAGAGGCCATAAAAGTTCAATGTATGACACTTTTCATTTTTTAATGGATTTGTTCAAAAAGAAGAAGAGAAAGAACCAACACTTTAGTCCTCAGGTGTTGGCGAAGAAGAAGATTTGACACAGTAAAATACGTTGTTACCTTCTCCGAATGGAATCGCCAAGGAATGTGACCTTTATAAACCAAATATTCCTTTTAGGTACCTTCTCGATCAGATCGATGCAAGCTAGCAAGTCCATTCCAAAATCGATGAAGTCCCAGTTAATACCCTCTATCTTGTATTCTTCTTGTTCCAGCACAAACATGTGGTGATTGAAGAATTGCTGCAGCTTCTCGTTGGTAAAGTTGATGCAAAGTTGTTCGAATCCGTTGTACTACAACGACAAAGTAAATGAAAAATTAAGAAATGAGTTCTTATGTTCACCCCTTTTTAAATGACTTCTTGAATTAGTATAATAGTATGGTCTTAGATGGACAGTCGTAAAAATAATGTTAGATAAATGGCTAGTTTAATGAATGGCACAAATTATTATCAACGTTAATGAATGATTAATCTGTAAATAGGATATATGGACGACGTCAGGTTGTTTTACTCTAGGACTAGACAGACATACACTCTTGCAGCCTTTGGACACGACAGTTGACAGACGGACGAGATATACGGACGAGACGTACACACCCTCCCACCTAAATACCTTCTCAATCAGCTCGATGCAAGCCAGCAAATCCATCCCAAAGTCAATAAAGTCCCAGTGAATACCCTCCCGCTTGTACTCCTCTTGTTCCAGCACAAACATGTGGTGGTTGAAGAACTGCTGCAGCTTCTCGTTGGTAAAGTTGATGCAAAGTTGTTCAAATCCGTTGAACTATAACGACAAAGTTAGTAAAACTATAAGAATTGGATTCTTATGTTGATGCCTTATAAAAATGTCTTCCCGAATTAGTATAATAGTGTGGCCTTAGATTGAAAGTAGTGAAAATAATGTTAGATAAGTGGCTGGTGCAATGAATGGCATAAATGATTATCCAGGTATATCAATATTTATTAATCTGTGAACTAAAATTGCAAAGCGGTTGAAAGCGTTATGATTCAGCACAGCGTTAAACAGCAGAAATATGAAACCCAGGAATCGAGGTGCCTTTACACATCGGACAGCAAACTATATGGCGAAAAACCTGAATTAGCTGTGAGTTTCATTCTCGCATGTTTTGTGTTTGTGGAAAAACTGAAAAAGATATCTGAAAATACAAAATGTTAAAACGAATAAAAATTAAATTATAGATATCATACAAAAAATACCTTTATGTATCATAAAGAATTCTTGGATTACAGTACAAAATAATCTTAAGTCTAATTAAATATACACTAATTATGATCGAAAGTTACATCTAACCAACAATTTTAAATAAGTGTATATTTTTAAAGTTGTGTTTTTATTCTTTTAAATTTTGATCTGTTATTCAATTTATCTCTTGATTGTCAACTCAAACAAAAAAGGATTACTTAAAGTATAACGAGTGATTTTTATTATGATAAACTACGTATACTCTATGAATATGTTGTTGTTTTTTTTTTTCATTACAACACTTGTAGCCTGTTTAGTTCCACAAATTGATTTTAAGCTGTACCTTGATTCCAACTTCAAATGATATGTAATTACAACAGCATCTACGTCAACAAATATTCCATATCAGAAATTCGCATTTATTTCAAGTTGTTTGTAATTCAACTTTTTTTGTTTTCAGTCAGGATTTACACATGAAAATACTTTAAGTACCTTTTGCCAATTAGAATAATTTATAAACACTTGTGGCGTATTTTAATAAAAATTACAGGGCTAAAAGGTATTCTCTTGTTTGCATTACTTACGTCGAAAATTTCAAACCCGGCAATATCCAGTACACCGATGAAGTGCTGCCTCTTCTGCTTGGTGTCCAGAGTCTCGTTACACTTCTTCACCATAAACTTGAACAGACGATCGAAAATACCCTTGGCCAGGGCACCAATGGAGTATGATACCTGTGAGATAGTAAAACCACCGTCAGCTGATAACCCCTATGTTATACCACTATATTAAGAAGTGAATATGAACCAGTCAAATAATGCGATAGTACCCTACTTCCTCGAACCCCTAAACTTGGAACTGCATAATTGCAGCAGTAGTGTTTTCACTAGAGCTGTCAAAGCATAAATAAATTATCGTGAAACTAAAAGTTCGAAGTAGATCGTAATTTATATGTAGCATCTTATAGTTGTGGTGAATATCGTACTTAGCAACAAAACTTGGTCTCAAAAGTGTAATGGCCAAGTTTAGTCAACTCACCTGATTGACGTTTCTGCCCTGAGTGACAAACTCGTTACCGACTTTGATCCTGGGCTTCAGCAAGTTCTTGTACATGTCGCCGCTGTCGACACCCAACAGTTTGGCCACACGCTCACCTTCCTGAAAGTCACAAGACGGGCTTACAAGAACAGTAATTATAACTTTTGTCGTTTTAAAGTGTACGAGTGGATTGTTTAAAGAAACTTATAAGGTTTTGATAATTTATATTCGAACGTGCCCGGGATTGTTTTTCACATTACTTCAGGCTAACCCTAGGGGTTGCGGCATTATCGCTTAGATAAAATCCATTGGTAATTTCGTGGGATTTGAACCCAGGACCTCTTGGACCGAAGTCCCGCGTTCTAACCACTATACCAGCTCACTCCCGAAAAAATAGCATAGCAAGAATAATTTAGTACGGTAGTAAATTAGCAGTTTTAGATGATTATGAAATGTTCAACAGTTATTTTGTCCTGGCAGATCTTACCTCAGTACCGTCGGCCTCAGCCTGCTCTTCTCGACCTCTCTGCTTGAACTTCATGCCACCCATGTGCATGACAGAGGCAGTGATCTTGTAGATGTCGTCCTTCTCCTGCTGAGTGAAACCCAGGACGTCGAAGGCTTGCTGCATACAGAACAGTGAAAATTAATTCTAGGAATAATCATTACAAATAAACTTCTACATACGCAAAAAATGCAAGTTTACAATTTAGAGCATGTTGACTGTAAAAATGATTTATGACTTTAATTAAGTCAAGCAAGTATTCTAAATTTATATTTGTTCAATACAAGAGCTGAACGTGTTTGGACAAGTTTGAAAAAATGAAGAATGACTAAGCAATGATAAATGCAAAAGTCAGTCAGAAAAATGGAACTAAATATAACATATGATAAGTAAGAGCTCTTGTTTTCGTTATCAAGATCATTCAAAATAAAATGTTCTAAACTAATAATAAAATAGTGTAATAAAAATAGTAATGTGGTAAATCCATAAAAATTGTAAAAAATTATGCAGCGCTTAAAAAATTATTCCATAATATATTAAAAGAAAAAATATTAACTACAAAATAAAAAAATTCAAGAAAAAACACAAAATTACTACAAAAGTACAGGCAAACAACAAAAAGACTTACCACAGATCAAAACACGTAAAAAAATCCCCAGACATCTTGTGATAAAAATCCGATGCTTTTCTACTATATAGAAACATTTATATAATAAATTTACACCTTTAAGCAAAGCACGAAGATTTACAAATTCCATACAAGAAAAATATGAAACAGCCAAAACTAAATATATTGAAGCCAGTGTTCAATTTTAAAATTATTTTGGGTTAAGAAAATAGTTAAGAAGATTATGATTTACTGTTAACAAAATTAGTGAAATATAAGTTGTTGTGTATTTACAGCACAAAACAACGAGAACTGTTATTATCGTTCCCTACGAAAGCCATTTAGTATTAGTTGCCTGAAGATAGTATAATATTTGCATAGCTTGTTGTTATAGACAACATCTTACTAGGAATAAAAAAAAAATACCAAATTTGAAAGATTTAGTTTCACATATAGAATCCAGTCCGCCTGGTTCATTGATATATATAGTCAAACGATAAGACAGGACAATCGAAGGAACATGCACGGCAACCACTGTAGACTTGGTGCTTATCCCCACGTTAAACTCACGAATTGGGTCTATGAACTAAAGTTCGGGAAACTGCATTGTACATGTGCAGCTGTGTTTAATAGGTGCACCAAACTCAGGCAATTATAACGTGAACTGTGTCGAGATGTTCAGAGTGTCACACATCTAAGTATTTATCAGGGCTTCTGCTCAAGTGCCCTTGGAAGGGTGAGGGGGATGATGCCCTGTGAATGTAAAGTGTCTTACGTCGGTAAGCTGGAATTCCTCTCCATCGTCCATACCCGGAATGGTGATCTTTCCCTGGGACACGTTGTAGTAGTCGTAGATGTTGTCAGACAGGAAGCACAAAGCTGAGACAGAGCAATAGTTAAGCGAGAAGCTAAGTTATGCCAAGCTAAAGCTAAGCGAGATAAGCCAAGGACGACTGTAGACGAAACGGCGGATGCTGATTTGATCGGTGCCTGTAAAAATAAAAATATTAGAGATTGGCGACGTGCATTCGAGTTAATGGTGTAAGCTCAGAGTAAGTCGGTGCTAAGTCCTTCATTGCCATGTAAAATTATTTATTTTATATTTTTTTAACATAACGAAATGATCATGTTTTGTGTTGAATAGTTTACCTCATTATGTCAAATTACAAACTTACAATTTTGATCAGATAATGTTGTTCGGAAAAATATAGTTTCTTCTGTGTTATTTATTTTCTAACGGATTTGGCAAATTAGTATATAATGTTCTCACTTTATATACTAAAGTGAGCTCCAAGTATCTTAGCAAATAGGTTGCCGGAAATGCACACCAGCGCGTATTTTCAATACGAAAAATGTGTTCATGATAGTTTTATTTTAAGTCTGAAAGCGTTTTTGAAAATATGGTATGAAGGACTTTGCGAAGAAGAGAAGACTTACGTCTGTAATCTCGTATTCCTCATAATCGCTAACGCCGGGAATCCTGGTCTTTCCTTGGCTAACAAAGTAATAGTCCTCCATTCTGTTACTCAACATACACATCTCTGTCAACATTACAACACATAAACACATCTATGTTAATCCACTATCAGACGATAGCCCTGTAACTACTGTGTGTACAGGATGTCACGGTTGGAGATAGGATGGAGACAGGGTTACTTACATCTGTGATAGTAAACTCCTCTCCGTCATCTACGTTGGGAATGGTGGTCTTCCCTTGGGAGACGAAGTAGTAATCGTTCACATTGTTGGATAGGAGACACTGTTCTGTAGGACAAAGGTGGGCATTCTTATTGATAGGTTACGTCATCTCAGGGTCCTCTCCGTTTTGAGACGTGGAAAGGGTCTTACTGGGCCACAGGTTTTGGAGCAGAGGGTTGGGGGATAGATAAGAATATCTGTGTGTTTGATGTTTCAAAAAATGTACTGTTAAATAACAAACAATAAAAAAATGAAATACTGTAAATGGTGTGAAATGGAATATGATTCAAGTTGAATGCCAGTATATGGTCTAAGTGATGACGTCGTGTGACCTTTATAGAAATAGTTGTAAAAATACACAAAAACAAAATTAAAGCCACAAAATAGTTTTTGTGGTACAGTATAAGCGAGAAACCTCTACTCGCAAATACCAGATCTTACTTCAGCGCCAAGTCTACTCAAGTAAGCGCTCAAGTATACTAAAGCGTTCAGACTTAAGCATCGTCACGAGAGCAAGTCTTACATCGGTCAACTCAAACTCGAGACCATCGTCAACTCCTGGGATCGTGGTCTTGCCCTGGCTGACAAAGTGGTAGTCGTTGACATTGTCGGTGAGAAGACACATGTCTGTTAAACACACAACCTCAAAACACACCTTACTTAGAACCTTCAAGAATTAACTATTGTAAAATATTTCCCAATACCACTGCAGCTCACTGGGTTGGCCTTGGTCAGCAATGTCTCACTGATCATTGCTGCTAAAGTAAAGAAAATCCAACTGTTGTTGTCAAAAATAAAATACTCGATATCATTGGTTTTATCACTTAGCTTTATGCCCATGGAACATTAAATATGCAAAATTACACTCATTTATTAAAAAATTGTAAGTAATAAGGTTTAGGAGGATCTAACTTTTCTATGGAAATTGTAAGCTTGGTAAAAATGTTTCTTGATATGAGTTTTAAAACAGTTCGTATCATTTTCATTTTGATTACCAAGAAATTTCGAAAAAATGTGTATAATTAAATATCTGTTTTGTTTCGTTCAATGATCATTATGACTATAATTTTCCAAACAAATGGTTCATTAATTTGTTTAACTAACTGGCGTTTGTTTGTGAAGTGTAGGATACGTACCTTTGACTCCTGGTACTGAGCCGGACATGATCTGGTAGAAGATGTGGTAGGACCGCTCTAGTGACTGCTGGGAAATGACTCGGGCCTTTTCCAGCAGATCTGGACAAACACAACTCATTGTCGTACATGTACTCGTTCACTTATATCTCCAGAAAATGTGATGAATTAATATGTTCATTTTATATTAATAGTGTTACTGATCCCATAATGGTAATGTAGTAAAGTACTTTAATAACCAAATATATTTAACCTTAATAAACACCATACTCATATGACTGAAAAGGGATACTATTTAAAAGATAAAATGTTTTCATAAAACCTTTTATAGCATTAATTTGCCAATTCTACTTTGCAAAACTGCATCAGCCTACAGAAAATGTTCAACTAATTTATACTTATAATTTAACTAGTATTTCTAATATTTCTAAATATACTTATTGCAAAGGCATTTATTGTTTTATAAGCTAAAATATACTCACATGTTTCAATGTCAGCTCCGGCCAGTTTTCCAGAGGGACCGAAGTGGATACGGATGAACTTACCCTAAACAAGGAGACAAACAACTCGTTAGCAACAGTTGTGTGTAGAATTTAATTAAACAATGTCCTATGTTACGTAGTTAATAATTGAGCGGAGCGAGCGAAGCTCTTTTGGATCAACTTCAATGCAAACAATATAACACAATCACTCAATAACGGCTGAACGCATTTCAGCCAAACTTAGCAAGATTACTTAGACTAGATGGTTTGTAAACAAACAAATTTCAATTAGATAATGATAATGCAATTTAAAAGTAACTTAAAATTTCCAATTTTTAACATTAGGCTAATTATGGGACTAAAGTAGCCATGACAGTTTTATGAATTAACAAGGAAAATGTAAACAAGATAATCATAAGGTAATTCTGAACTTTCTAGACTTTTCTTTTAAACGTTTTTAAACCATTCTATGATCTTTATAAACAAGAAAATACCGCTAAAACATTTTTTAAATCGCGGAATTCACTGCAAATTGCGAAAATATACGAAACTACTTTCTCAATGCGCGGAGTATATCGCAGTGACTACTTACTCTTGGGCACCTATTTGTGTTGCCAGCAAATCAATGTTAGAAATCAGGATTTAATAAGCGATATATCGAACCGCATCGAAATCCATATTTAATCCGATAATATCTCACAGGTTATATTATGTTAAATTACATCGACGGTACAGTAAGTTATTACACTTATTAATAAAACGCAGATTGAATACTGATCTAATTTAGGCATGTGGGGAAGGTACTGTAGGTCGGGGTTTATGAGTATTCGTGACTACATTAAGTGTTTTGAAGTAAGATTAGATTAGGAAGGTAAAGTGTAGGTTATAGGTAGGTAATCGGGTTGTTTATTTGTGTTGCACCATATTATTTTTTATCTTTTGGAATAGTTGGTTAAACGGGGAAGCGATTTCAAAAATGCTTGCACATGGTCTTAACAAACCATCTACAGTATTCTAGCATTGACTTTATATAAAGTCAATGATTTTAGCAAATTACTACATACAGACCAAAAGAAAAGAATATTTGGATTTGGACCTTTGACCATTGAAAATCTAACATATAATTTATGAAGTGTGAAAAGTTGTATATCATTAAATACTATTCTGTAAAATTAATAATTGTTCGGCAAATCCTCATTTTAATGGCTCGGCTGAAAATGGAATCTGAATTTTGTGAAACTGTAATTTGGTAACAATTCAGTAATTTAATTTCAAATGTTAACATTAGCCTATCCTATATAAATAGGCCTACTGCTATTTGATTGCCAAGCCACGGACTATACATACGTCCAGTTATAACCATAATAATAAGTAAATAATTAATTACCTACGCTTATAGAAGTCCACTTTTAACCACGGTATGGATAATTGTCTAGGCCTGTCCAGAAGTAGGCTACTAATCTCTAATTATACAGTATAGCCTATTGAATTATTGTTTGTAGTTTATTAGGATTGTATTTGATTTATTCTTGCTATAATTCATTATTAGGAATATAACTTACATAATTTTTAAGTAATTCATTCACTGTACCGCAATTCATTCGGTTCTAATGGCAAACAGCCGGGAGATGGACCGGCAACGCTTAGTCGCTTACTACAGTATTTTCCATTCGCCAATTGCGGGAGAAGCTGTCACCAGAAATTATTAGAAGATGGCGGTCGCTGAGACTACTATTGGTTAAGTAGCATTAGCTATTAGCTCCACCCCCCCCCCCCCCCTCCTCCTGAATGTTTCCAAGCTTCTAATGAAGGCGGTGATTATATGTGATTGACGTAACAATCAATATAAGAAATAATATGTTTATGACGCATAACTAATATTACAGCGTGGATGAATAAAAATATACTTTAAACGTCTAATAAACAACGCAAAATACGCTAAAAGTTGTAAGGAAATTTCTGATTTAGGCTGATTAATTTGGGTTGTTTAGATTAGGCCTTTGTTGTGACAAGATACGATGACGTAATTGGAGACCAAATCTACATTGTGTATTTAAGGCATGTCTTCCCTTCTTGTTATTATTCTGTTTTTACATAAATCTGCTGAATGCGATGTTTACTTATTACTTAAGTTTAGGAATACATTTCAGCCATCTTAGTTTATTGTTCAATAAGTCTTTTTTCGTCTTTTTTTTGTTCAATAGTCTTTTTGCAGTTTTTACGTTTTTACACATTGAAATACATGATTGATAATTCAGTCCATTTTAGTATTTTTTTTTGATGTTAATATCAGATTCCAACTACTGTAATATTTTCCTGGTCAAAACTACCATAATCCACTTTTGGAAGAGGTATCTGAATAACAAGATGTAGGAAAAAAAATAATTATTATAATTTTAATCAATAAAACAAGCATTAGTACATCTATTGACTTTTTTACATTTAGTTACTTATTCAAATATCTAATCACGTTTGTTCCGCTCAACTGGCTTTCACCTCTCTGAAAGCAACCCTAGTACATCTGTATTCCATAAAATTTTACTATAAGCTTTTAAAAATTGTCAAGTTGTAAAAGATACTTACGAATCGGGAAGAGTTGTCGTTACGCACTGTCTTAGCGTTACCGAAAGCTTCAAGTACAGGGTTAGTCTGGACGACCTGATCTTCCAGAGTTCCCTACAACACCAACATACAAAACTTAGCGATTATGTACCAAACATTAGCCATATTCTATTACAACTTCAAAATGGTTCTGTCTAATTGACGAACTACAACATCTATGCGCCAAAGTTTTATTTGTTTGAATTTTAATGCTTTGCAAGAAAGGTTTCCGATTTATTCTTACTAGTGTACCTGTTGCTCGAATTCGAGCAATTGCTAAGTATTACAGGGTTTATTTTAAAACGAACAACAGTCATAATTTCTGATGACTTTAAGATTCGACTTAAAGATTATGGAAATACTCAAGATGTACATCGATATAATCAACATTTCTTGTAAACATCTTTTTTTTAAAGCTGATCTTGTTTTTTAACGATAATAAATTAAACAAAAAAATATTTTCTATTTCTTCTCCTTGGTGGTGTTCTATGACTTTCCTATGTTTCCATAGTTTGCAAGCGGCTCTCTCAATAATTACTAAGATATGCAGCACAGCGTTAATTCAGTTTCCTTTTTAGTATATCAAATTATCCAGGCTCTCCCGCTTTTTCCATTGTAATATTTACACCAACCCAAATACAAATAGTAATTTCAACAAAGTCAGTAAATGTTTGTAGCAAACTGTTAAATTAGTAAACTTACTGACTGTTTACAATTAACATATGTTCTTCTTCTCATTTTTTATTTCTGACAACAGCTGGAGTTTCATAACAGTGTTTGTTTACCATGTTAATCTTAAGGAGAAATACAAAACTTTAAAGGGTCCCAGGGCCTCACTCTCTCATTATTTCCCTAAAAATAAAGTTTCCTGCACAACTTCACGTTACGCTCTTTCCAATGACACCAAAAACATGTCAATCGGTTAAGTAGTTTCGGAGGAGTAATTGTCACAAAAATCCTGCTTGCGTATTAAATAAGTATAGATTGTGTTAGTTTGTACAATATGACATGGTAAGGTTTACAAAAAGCTTATGTACCTTCTTGGTCTCCTCAGCCGTGGGCTTCTTGGAGGAAGCACCGACGGTGGCGAAGTACGCGATTACCTTCTTCGTGTTTTCAGTCTTTCCCGCACCAGACTCTCCTCTGTTTGACACAAAATATATCATAAAACGGAATATAGGAAATTTGTGACAAGAAAGTTGACAAGTGTTAAATGAACTCAAAGGCAATGAGGTGAGGTAAATTGTATTAGAGTTATGAAAATACAAGTGAAACAATTTTAATTGTTACTTCTAATAGAACTTAATTATTTCACAAATAACTGGGGCTACTTTGCAATTATAAAGCTTTGTAAACATGGTCCATATTTAAAATGCCCATTTAAGTAAGAATATTATTGTGTAATGATTTGTCTTTGTTATTTTAATAATAACATAAATGAATGTAAAAGTAATATTTGACGAATCATTCCTTAAATCGTAACAATTTTATTGTAAACTGTAAATTTATATGTGAAAGTTTCAATACTTTGTATTTTTACTTACGTGATAAGCATAGACTGGTTTTCTTTGTCTGGAAACAGATAAAAAATGGGTTTAGTGTGAAATTTGATTTCGTAGTCAACAATCATTTAATATAAATATAAATACGAAACTATTCAAGTGCGATTGTACAATCTTACAGACTCTGTCAATGGTTATAGCGTTCAAACGGTCAATCTTTCTTAACTAATATTTCAATAAATGATACTGGTATTTATCGAAACATCTAACATTTTTCAACTGATTTACGTACAAAACTGACAACTTCTTAAAATATTAACTAGACGAAACTAAGTGAAGTTCTCACTGTGAGGTTTAAAAAATTTCATGCAAATCTTTGTTAATAAAAGGCTTTTTTATTACGAGGTTAAAACATCTGATTCTTGTACCATGGGTTTATTTCTGTGTTTAGTTATTAATAAACTATATTCCAATAAATTTCTTGAAAGTTTTAAATTTAATGTTATTAAGTTAATTAACGACTCTTGTGGTCGTGGTAGTTTATTTGACTATTGTAGCGTAAGTTTAATTTTTATTTTTAGCTTGAAATTGATGTATACTTTTTTTAAGTGATTAAGGTTAATGCAAATTAAATACAGGAGCTTTAGGATAAAATATTCATCATAATTCAATATCCCTAAGAATATATTTGTTGTGATTTTTTCACATTCACACGTATTGTCATTTTAAAGTTACTACGAAACAAAATTACGTTTATATTTAAAGCCTTATTTTTAAGAAGCGTTAAAATACATACTCATAGTGCTGTTAATTTTAAAATTAATACTAGCCGGAAATTAATAAAAAATCTAATACAAATTCAAAAGTATTCTTAAGTAAAAAATAAATTATTTTATTTTACCAAACATATAGATTTGAGGATCTTTGCACTAGTTTTTAAATGTGTTTAAGGCATTTACAATACTTTGCTAATTAATTGGTTTTTAATTAATAAACCTACACCATCAGGCCGGTTGATTGGGGCATAAGGCCGTGTGATTGAGGCATAAGGCCGTGTGATTGAGGCATAAGGCCGTGTGATTGAGGCATCAGGCCGTGTGATTGAGGCATCAGGCCGGTTGATTGAGGCATAAGGCCGTGTGATTGAGGCATAAGGCCGTGTGATTGAGGCATAAGGCCGTGTGATTGAGGCATAAGGCCGGTTGATTGAGGCATAAGGCCGTGTGATTGAGGCATCAGGCCGTGTGATTGAGGCATCTGGCCATGTGACAAGCAATACTTAACGTTATAGTACTACGCCTGTATAAGCTAACTAAGTCACAATATTATGGTAAATTCTATTATCTTATCAATCAGCCTCCATAGTTACTTCAGTCTTATTTGGATATTTTATACGATCAGCTATTACAAATATTAGTACCTGCACAGTAAAAAAATTAAATTTGATAATGTCTCTAAATAAAGGGCAGATGTTGATGTGATTGAAGTGAAACATAAAATATGATGAGACAATAAAGACCAAAATATGTTGAGGACGGTCTGCTATTGATTTGTATCAATCGGGAATAATGATCAGCGGACAAATTTTGAAGTCTGAAAATGAACAGGTGATGTCCTCGACTCATAGCTTAGTATTTTTCCTAGGGAGTTGACAGACTTGTTGTAGCCCCACAACGCATGTATTAAAACCCGTTTTTGCAGCAGTATGTATAACGAAAACAACGTTTTTATCGTTTCAAAGAAGCGTTTAGAGGTGTTTATCCACACTCGTCGATGTGTGCTGGGGAGGGTCGGTTAACTATATTACAATGTACATTTCATTGTATTATGAGTTTGTTTCTAATTTAAAGTATACAGTTACTCTCGTAACTCACTGGTAAGCATGTTGACGTAGGCTCCGTCAGAGATAGCAAAGATGTGGGGTGGGACTTCGTTACGCCTCTTGCCTCTGTACATCTTGGCACACCTGTTTGTGTACACGGGGAACCTCTTGTAGGGGTTGATGGCGACGCAGAACAGGCCAGAGTAGGTCTATAGACACAGAGTAATACAGAGTGAGACATACAGCTGAAACGACATAGAGTATGCAACGAACGCTACCATTCAAGCTGGCAACCCTTCTAACTACTTTCATTATAACTTACCTCGACGCAGTTATGGATTGTGTTATTATTTTAGTATAAATTCTGTATGTACAGGTTGAACTAGGCCTTTGCTATATAATTCAATGACGCCAGGCATTGGATTATACCATGCAATTGCAGTTGCAAGAAAATTATACTTTGTAACGGGTCATTAAATACCAAATTATAGATCTGGTGGGTTCAAAATATTCTAAACAAAAAACTTTCAGCAACATAGTGTTTTTATAATTTTTGTTGACAAAACCCGCTAAATAACGATAGATGGTTCTATGCGTCAATATAAAGAGAAGATTAAGAATAAATCACAGAAGAGGCCGCCAACCTCTTAAAAAAAAAAAAAAAAAATGTTTCTAAAAAAACTATTAGTTAAGATAAAAATGTTTATGAAAAAAATACTAAACGGGGGATATTTGGTTAATTTTTCTAACTGATCCATATGGAACTTAAACGGCCTATGTTATTAAAGTAAACGATACCTGCGTTAGACAAGCTTAGCCTGGCTCAAAGTGGAATTGTTAAAACAGATTCCATTTATATTTTATATAATAAATTAGATAACTAATTCAATGCCACTTTTCGTATTTACGGTTTGTTCCTTTCAAACAACACCAAGATCAAAAAGATCGAATAGTGAATAGCTAAATATCACGAATGATTTAGTAAAGTAAAGCATAATAAAGCCAAGGGCCTAGGGCGCACCTCATTTTAACATAGGTCTCGTTATCCTTGAAACGTATACCAAACGTGTATGTTAAAAACACAAAATGGTTGGAGAGGCGTTTTAAAAATATATTCATTCTTAATTTTTTCTTTATTTTGACCCATATCACAATTTTTTTCAGAGTTTTGGCTATTTAATTACTGGAAACCCTGTAAAGCTACTAGATTTAATGAGTTTATTTTTAAAGAAAAGAAAACTTAGGGGACTGATTAAGCAATCGCGATATGCACAGCCATATAAAAAGTAATTTACTCATAATGAAGTGGTTGTAATCGCTTACAGACAAAATAATAAATTTTTAATGTCTATATTTATCTAGGTAAATGGTATAAAGATTATGTTTGGTAACAGTGCAGATTGTCACTAACATATATTTATCATAGTTTTCCCAGAATCAAAGATAGATGGACTGAAAAATAATGTTTAGAAAAAATGTAACTGACTAAAATTACATTATTTAACAGCTATTGTAATTTTGATTCTTGTCCTACCGTTAAAATGTCAACGTAGGTTATAATAAAGCATCAATTCGCTTCTGAAATATAATTTGATTGTAAGGGAACTTATTTACAATGATTTTTATTTATTTTTATTGTTTATTCCCGTCCATCAAGTCTACCTAGTTGCAAGGTAAAAGATGATTTAGTTAAAGTATAATAACAGTTTACCACTCTAGAATACTAATACTACTTTATTATTCTAAGAATATACTTCAATAGCTTACTAACCACATGCGCTACTTAAGCAATTAGTTGAAAACAAAATATACAACAAATCACGCCACACACTATTTGAAATCATGCACAAAAAATAATTTTAACCTTACTGCATCTTATAATCTGATTCTATAAATGTTTCATTTGAAACTATTTGTTTTGAAACGATAGTTTCAAACGTACGAAAAACAGATATATAAAGTGCAGCAGGACAAATACACAATAAATCCCACAAAATACCCAAATTTGATCAAATATTTTCAAATTTGGATTTTCACTATAGCCGCACGGCTGAGTGCGTTTTTACACAACTAAGGGCGGGGTGGTCAATGCACCTTTCCATCCCTTGGGCATCCATGCTGGGTGATGTAGGGTGTTCCTTCTCCTATCTGGGTTGTACGAGAAACGAAATAATCATATTTCTGATCATGTCTACAGGTAGAAAACCATACAAGTGTTATATTCCAATATCTATGTAACATTTTAGACAGAGGTTAATAACAAAACACCTCAATAAAACCTTTGCTAAAACTATACGTATGACGTTATTTTGTCAGTTACGAGGGACAAGGAGGATTTGTTTTCTATCCAAAATACTGAATCGTTTCCGTTTCAAAATGTATTGCAGGAGCTAAATAATTATGTAAATCTATTTATTGTTTTTATTTTTTTTATCACTATAGCATGTATAAAGAGTTAAGAATTTCAGAAATGATGTAGCTAAATGCTAAAAACCTATTTAGTTGAAATTTCATTGCAATAGATGACCCATGCATCAGTGTATGGAGGGGACAGAGGGTTTCCACACATGCAGACACCCGACGATCCAAGGTGAAACCAACTCTCAAGGGCCAAACTTACGTAGATCAGCTTATGATAGTATCTTTGCTTGAGGTTATACAGGACGGACGCGTCATTCAGGTATGTCAAGTTGGACATATCCTCGCATTTCTCGTATTTTGGTGGGTTCACCTGCCCTACCAAGTCCTTCTTGAAGTCCTTGGTCTGTTGGAACACAGATACATGATATTAATATGGTGATACATCAGCGAGGTCACTCGGAAGTGGACTTACGTAGATCAGTTTGACGTAGTATCTCTGCTTGAGATTGTGAAGGACTGCCGCGTCGTTGAGGTAAGTAAGGTCCGCCATATCTTCTACCCGCTCGAACTTGGGAGGGTTGACCTGGTAGACCTGCTCCTTCTTGAGGTGTTTCTCCTGCTCAGGTTACATATGCGTTAGTGGAGCCCGCGGTGCCGGCCGTTCGGGCACTTGGCGGAGTGGGGTGGTAGATGAGGACTAAGGGATTGTGATCATTGGGGGGTTGAGAATTGTTTAACTGAGAGGGGTTATAGATTGTGAGCCAGAAATGGTTAGGGATTGTGAACAATGAGAGGTTTTGGATTACGATCTATAAGGGTTAATGGATTATAATCTATGAAAGGGTAGTTGGTGGACCATGAATGTAGTGGGTCATGATTCATTATAAGTTAGGGACAATGATTATTGAGGCTTGGGGATTGTGATCTGTGACAGGTAGTCAACAGTAATCTCTGAGGAATACTGTATTGGGATTCTTGGTGTATAAGAGTATTATGGGCACAATTTAAGTAAAAACTATAAATTCGGGAACAAAATAAACCTCGTCTTAAACAACTTTAGGTTGAAACTAGCATAAATCTCCGATAGAACTTAAAAATAATTTTTACGACAAACTAAAAATTTACAAGTAGTACATCAAGGGGGTTCTACCCGGCAGCCTGAATTTCAATTCAAGATGGCGGGTTATATGGATTGAAATATAGTTCGGGATTGAACATGCCTCTATTGTAAAAGCTCACAACATTCTAAAACCAATTTGTTTTCAGTGATTGTGAGCTTGTTGTGCTCTTTACAATCAGAGCATGCAATGGATAGGGGAAAATTCATTTTAACTATTATTTAGAAGTTAAAATCGCACGTAAAAAAGAATAATTTACGGATTTTTTTTAAGAAACAATAACGAAGTTTAAGTTCATTCAGTGCATAGATTGGATCTTTGTGAATATTTTACAGTTTATTTCAACTCGATAAACACTTTAATAATGCCACGAGACTCTTTTTTAGGGCCATGTTTACGTGGTAACAGCCGGTGGGTGGAACCCTCTTAAGATTTTAACTTTTAAAACATTGCAGTTTCAGCACTGTATTTAGTTAATACGAACCACTTACGATTACTATTGCTTACTGGAGTGCTATATTTGTGTTCTAACATATAAAAATGTATGTTATAAAAGTATTGTACGCATACATAATCAAAAATTATTAAAATGCAATATATTATATTTAAACTTAGATCCACAAATAAATTGAAAAGTAATTTTTAACAAACTTATCGTTCTTGAGACTTTTTACCATTACATATTTAACAGAGATTATATTACTAAAAGGCATATTACATATATTGCAATTATTGTAGCTTTTTATATAGACTGTCGATTTAATTAAAAAAAATATCTTTTAGCAGACGTTTGAGAAGCTTACCTCGCCGTTGGGGAGTACAACGGTGACAAGGTCTCCCTTGGTAGCCTTAATCTCGCCCTGGAGGAAGCCTTCAGCTTCATCAGGGACCCAGCAAGCCTTCTTGCCATCGTAAGGTTTCGATTGGTCGATACGTTTCTGTTCGAGAGACACAAACAGGTAAGGGGTGGGATCGGGGTCATCACCCTCCTGTGGCTTTGGCTTCGGCATGTTGAGACTAGGAGATCAGGTACAGCGAGACACTTGTAGGACAGCCCTCGGATCTCTCTGTAAACACACGTCAACAAAATCTATCACTATCAAGGCTAATTTCAACTGTCCATTTTAATATACATCCATTATCAAACTTTTCACCTGGTCATTTTCTTTAGCACAACAAAATTGCTATACGTAATTTACACCTACGCCAGTTTTAGCGAATTTCTCATATAGGAAATAAGCTTTTTATGAGTATGATTATTACAAACGTACAATCGTTATTTTTCCTTTGATCAGCAAGTGGTATTTTTGAGTATAGCCTATATATCGCGTGACAGAATACACTCGTTAAAGAATTATATGAAATTATATCCATCGATTTGGTACACAGAGGATTTGAGAAATATACCTTGTGGTTGTTCCAGCTTATGATGAAACTCAACTTACTTGAGAGACCTATAACTGTTTTGTATATAAATGGCCTCACAGATAAGGTGGGTACCCAAGGAACAGATGATGACATTTTTTCTAGCTTTAAATTATTGGCGTTTGGCTGAACTTGGACCTGGGACAGTTAACCACTAGACTAGCCGCACCTATATACACACTCCAACAGATGAACTGATCAACGTACAGGACTAACGACTCTTCATCAGATTTTGTGTTGACAATTATGTCCTTATACTTGGTTACTTTGCCCTAAACAATACAAACGATAACTGTGAATAAATATTGAGTAACATAACTACTCTAAATTCTTTCAATGATAAACTATATAAGTTCGTATACATTTTTATGAGTCTGATATTTAACATTCACCTATACAACAACTCTAGTTTAGATCTATTTCAAGATAGAAGTCACGTAATACATGTTTTATTAAATTCTAAGACCAGCATGAACTGTGTTTTTGTTTGGACGCCAGTCACTGCCACCTAGTTAGTTACGATTCCGGTGGTAGATTTGACATCCAGCGAGATTAATTGAGTTTTGACATCATTCATCAAAGTATATATCGTATTACGCCATATTTTTTTTGGGATTTACATGAGTGTTATCGGTTATCACACAGTGATTTCATTGTTTGTAATCATTCAATTATTCAACAAGGTTAAAAAAAAACTTGTGAGATCGAGATTTTTAAACCAGTAGACGGTTTTAATAACTACAGTTTGGCCTAGGTAAATGCAGTTAGTGTTAAAGCTAATTCTGTCGTGATAACATCGATTTATGTGGTTTTTTTTTCGAAATAATACTGAAACTTAACGCTGAACTTGTATTTTTGTATTGCACACACAAACAAACAACATACTCTCACGTTCTTTTACAGAACCCAGTATGTACTTTACACTATATCAACTGCGTCTAGTGTATGTTGGCTCATTCTTCTCCCTGCCGTTGTACTATTTATATATTTTTCTCTCTAAGCATATTAGGGCGATGCAAAGTGAACTGTATTTTTTCTTTCAAGAGTTTACATCAGCATAAGCTCGTTGTATATCCGAGCTTTGGCCGATGGAACGCGTCAAGGCTATTTTCGTGGTCATTCGCGGCCCAGAAATACCCGCAGCGCACGCCCAGGGCTACAGACTGTCTACGTACAGCAAGCGTCAGCTAACATGCAATTTGCCACTTGCCAGCTAATCTGTCAATACTGCGGTGAAACCTGAGTCATTGTTGTGTTTGTAGCACCTGGCTTGGCAAACAATACTCTGTTTGGTAACACCAAGGTGTTATTATAACAGCAAGCTAAGTAGATAAACAAACAAACGTTTATGAATACCAACCGATGATCAAAGATCCACAATGCATTCTACGAAACTAGCCCAAACAAAGACCTGAATATGAACAGCATGATATAATAACAGTTTTAAAGCTGGTGTAATAAGTTTATTTACCACCATAACTACTTTAAATCATTATATCATCTTAATTCCACGTCTTAAAAACAGTGATTAACCGATACTGTCTATATAATTGAATTAATTACAATAGCTGTTTAAGACTAAGTTTAACAAAGAAATTGTTTATTAAAATCTCTGTATTTAACTTTTAAATCCCACAAAATACCATCACTGTTCTAGTTTGAAGAATACGTGTTTTTCTATTACGGTATACCGCATGACAACTGACCAAGTGCGATTCATATATCGCACGTGAAGGAGCGCGGCACGGCGTGGATGTGATATGGCTACAACTACGTTGTGCGGGTATTGCCTATGTTCAGGCGCGTCCCCTTGTATGTGGATAACGTTGTCGTAGCGGCTAGGCGCGGCACGGTGTGGATGTGATATGGCTACAGCTACGTTGTGCGGGTATTGCCTATGTTCAGGCGCGTCCACTTGTATGTGGATAACGTTGTCGTAGCGGCTAGGCGCGGCACGTCGTGGATGTGATATGGCTACAGTTACGTTGTGCGGGTATTGCCTATGTTCAGGCGCGTCCCCTTGTATGTGGATAACGTTGTCGTAGCGGCTAGGCGTGGCACGGTGTGGATGTGATATGGCTACAACTACGTTGTGCGGGTATTGCCTATGTTCAGGCGCGTCCCCTTGTATGTGGATAACGTTGTCGTAGCGGCTAGGCGCGGCTAGGCGCGGCACGGTGTGGATGTGATATGGCTACAGCTACGTTGTGCGGGTATTGTCTATGTTCGGGCGCGTCCCCTTGTATGTGGTTTGTAGCGAAATTCAGTAGAGTAACTTAGACTAAGGCCCCCTAATCGTAAGCTTGTTGTACGGATGTACTTGTTAATGTTTCAAAATAAAAAATAATATTTTTATTCTTGTAATACTACGTTTCTTGTTCTTTAAAAAAATGAAAAACAACACTTACTACATATTTTACTTTTGTTTGAAATTCTTATAATCACAGTTTTCATCCATTTTGATATTTTTTTTTATTTATAGTGTGTATAACAAACAATGTACAACACAGTAAAATCATAAAATGATTATAGTAACTTTTATGTTTATAACATTTTGTTTAGAAACGCTAAGCATTTATTTTTTTATGTTTGCCTCCGAATTACGTTGAATATATAAAATTGGTGTAAATACCTGCTTCTTATGATTACTACAATTTGGATTACTATGAAGCAGGTATCTACACTAATTTTTATATTCAAGCATTTATGTTATGATTACAAACTGAAAATGAAAACAAGATGGCGAGTGTGTGTTTAGTTTGGCTCATCGCTTCGCCTCGACCTCGCTGGTGTTTCATCAGAAATAACCTTCCAGTGACCTCTACACGGATTCACACATTCATTTTAAAACTATCGACTATTTTTTTATCTAGTATATAACTTTTTTCAAACACGTGATTAAACTTAGCCGTGGAAAAAAATGTCTGTCTATTAAATTTCTAAAATTACTGGTTTCCTCATATTACATTGTCCCCTACAAATAACAGGAATAAAACCATAGGCTACTGAAAACGCTTATTCTTAACTGAGTATTCTCCACTGACGTATACAATGTCCACGATTAATTTGCCTACCTCACTGTGCCCGTAAACTACCATCATATAAAAATCCGTACTACTTACTGTGAAGTAATATCATTTGTAGTTTAATTTAAAATATATATATATTTTATGGTTGACAGTTTAGAACATGGATATATATTATGAACATTATAACAAATTACTACAAGAGACTAAACGTAAGTGTTGTTATATATGTTAGTAAAATATTAACGATACGGTTAGCTAGTTTATGTTAACACAAACTTTAACTAATTGTTTAATAGTTAGTTAAGAGCGACAGTTTCGTGTTGAAAACTCTTGAAATAAATATTGACACCTCGTCACTTCTTTTACTAATACATTAAAAAAATAACTATTACTTTCCTTAATGAATTAAGATTTGACAAATATATTGGAGTGCAACATTTAAAGTATAAAATTGTAAATGCATCATTTATTTTTATTTGGAAGAATAACTGTTTAATGCACAAGCCAAGTTATCGTAGTTTTCTGTACATTTAGTTCTATTTATTAAAAATATTTAAGATCACTGGGTGTTATCATAAAGTGTAAGTCACGGTTAAAAAATTTCAATATGTATTCATTACCATTCGGAAAGTATGGTATTCTGCTTTATATAAACGTTAACAACAATGGAATGCTATTTGTAATTTGCTCCAAAGCTAATAGTCAACATGACTATCAGCTATGCAGTGAACTGGGTAATATAGACTAGTAGTGTAAGTCAGAGTCTATAATGAATTACATGTGTGTTTATGAATGTGGGAGTTATCAGTAAGGAGAGCTTATACATACGGACGGTGGTGAGGAGCGAAAGTCGTGAGCGACTGAGCAAAGAATACGACGGGGACCCGCGCGAGCGCCAAAAATAGCGCCCCTCCCTCCCCTTCGGCGCTTGGATCAGATGTACCGCCTATTTAAAACATGCCAATCACCGGTCTCTAGGAATTGTCTCCTTTATATAGAATCAAATAGCAAAGGCCCAAAAAGAGGAAATGTGATCCGGCACTTGTACAAAGTAATCGTACGATTAAGGGATAGTTTAGACAAGTAAATAATTATTTGGCTTCTTTATAGCAATTTAAACAGTAACAATTAAAAAGTATATAAGGAAAATATTACCTGACAACCGTATCCTTTTACTAAAATACGACTGAAATTAATTGTTTTTTCTTCAGGTCTATTTCTTTATTTTTGTTTTTATTTGTCCGAGAAAAACTGCGGGGTGTGCTATTGTTAATAAGTATTGTTTGTAAGCAAGTAAACAATTCGGTATAGCATTGAAACCCATAAATGAAGAACTAGTATGTGGCACATTACTATCGGTACCATTTTAATTGAATAAGATCGTCCGATTTGTATGTGTAAACTTTAAATACTACTATAAATAAAGCCACAAAAAGGCCAGCGTAAATTTTTTAAATATTTTCTTTTATTGTTAGATGAGGTTTATTTTTTAAGATAGTATTTCCATTATTATGTAGGCTATAATTGAAAAGATTTTTGTTCTCCCTTCAATGTATATTTTATGTATATAATATTATGTAGGCCTATAGGTATATTATATTTAATGTATATCTTTATTACTTTGTTAATCTTCTAACTTGATTCAATTTGTGTTATTGATCCATCACATAGTAAAAGAGGCTTAGTTTTCATTTAGTTATCAAGCGATAGCTCAATTGTTGCAGTGAATTTGCCCCCTAAGGTTGTCAACACTGACGCAGAGTTGTCAACACTAAACTGTTGCCATGGCAACCAGCAACAGTACATCTCAACTCTGTGCTCTCCGTTTACTCATGAAACAATTCACATATCATGGATGAAATTATTATAATTTTATAAATAGAATTCATAATGTAGATTAGTAATGAACCAGTCCTACACGGCTTCGCGATTGAAGTTCTGCCAATACTGTAGTTTGACTAACCGAATTTAGAGATGTGTACGATTTGAAATATCAAGCTGGAAACTTTTCTTTTTACTTCCTGACCTTGAATAAATTAACAAGCTAGTTTTGAAAATCTTAACACGGTTCATTATGAATGCGGTTTATTACAAATGTATGCGTATTCAGTGCAAATTTCATCTTAAAATCCTGTGTATTATAATACGAGTATATTAAATTTAGATCGGACTATTTTTTATAAAGCATTTTGCCTTTTATTTTTCATTCTTTACAAATTTATTTAAGTTTTTAACTGTCATATCAGTTACACCCTTTGTGCAGTCAATTGCTTTTATAACATGGCACTATGTTATGACTGCCTGCAATATAATTGTTCGGCTTTGCTACTATGTAAATATGATTAATTTAATTTCAAATCTTTCAGCTAATCAAATTAATTTAAAAAATTAACTGCATCACAACAGATGAACAATAGTAGCATGGATTTACACGGTCACTTTTATATTCGCGAAGTTAACTCAGCCAGATAGTCCACACTCTGCTTATCACACGCCGGAGATGAAGGGAGTCCACCAAGATGTCCACAGGTAATCCAGAAAGCACAGATCCGGTGTACCGCCACTTACCGTTACCACGTGTTATCGTTATCACACCGCACTCTTATCACTACAGTAGTTTCTTATCACTTCACAGCACCACAGCACGCTGTACACTCTCACTTACGTATGGATGCCTAGTGTCGACCGCCTCCCTCCGTACTCCCGATATAAACGTCTGCAACGTGATACCGGTTTGGTACGAGGATTGCGATTGGCGGAGATTTCGACCAATCAGGGAATAGCTCAGTGGCGGGTCGGAGCCCATTTTTAGGCTCGCCCCGGCCGCCTGAAATACCGTGACAATGAGGGGGCATTGTAGCGACGGTGGCGCCGTGGACGGTGCCCCCAGGTACTACCGTGCCTTCCCCACAAGAAACAACATTGGGGGCTGGGGGTAAACAAACCTACCCCCCGTGGCTGTGAGGTAAGTGACAGCAACAACTGACCAATCAGCTGTTGAGCTATGTCTCCGTGGTATATCGTGCCACTCGGAGTACTGAACCATCGGGAGGACTTGAACTTGACAACCAATACGTTGACCCCGTGAGAGAGTTTGTCTCTTCAATAGTCAAACTGACATTTATCTCATCTTGATATAGGCCTATAGCTGTGAATCGCAACAAGAAACGTACATATTTAGAAGGGGTTGATAGATTTAGTATTATACCACTTTTGTTATGGATACCAATGTGGCATACAATCTAGAATATTTAGATAAAAGTTATTACTAATCTATATGATACATCTACTTGGTGAATCAGATTTCATTTGAGTATTATTACTTTTTCCTTACGAAACATCTAATGTAGCAATGTTCCTAGTGACTGCTTTAGATGTTCTTTTAGTGAATTTCCCATTTATTTATTATCAACGGTTCCACCATTTTTACAATGTTGATTAATAATAACAATCAAGACAGAGATTTCAAATGACTTAAACAATGAACAATATATACAATCAATTAATAACAAAATTACAACTACAATCTATTTACAAACAAGACTTTGCAGTTTAATAATAATATTATAGGTTACATTTACATTTCCCATATAGGGAATTAGCTGTTACCGTAGGACCGTAGGGAATTAACTGTACTCATGGTAAGGACTGGACCCGGGACCGATTCTCATTTCAATTTACGTGTAAACCTACGTTTATTCGAACGAGTTTGCGAACCAGCATGATCGGACTATGGTAACGGGGGTTTATAAGGGGGTTTATGGGGTAAACATTGGGGTTTCCCATTTTTGACTCAAAAACATAAACTTTCACAATTTCTTTCCAGGCTATTTTGTAGAGCACAAAAAACAAATAATTTTGTATATCGAAGTGTTGTTGTATGCCTAACGGTTACGGAGATAATAAAAAACTTGAAATTTAAAATGTCCATGTTATTCTTATGGAGAATAAATGAACTGTTGTAATTTGCTTGTTTATGGATATATTTTAATCAAATCTAGCAATTTTGTTTATTTCATACTAAGCTATCAACATTTCAATACAAAACACACCTACCTTCCCTGTAGCATCATACCTAGGTACTCATTAAAAGTCATGTTATTTAAATAGGGAAAAAAATCTGACCATTTTCAGGGAATATTTTTCTAGAAATCCAGCCAGGTAAATGGAAATTCGCTTAGTCTGTAGGTTTGCTGTAGCAGGGGTATTTTTAATACCTAGATTTGTTATTTTCCTCTTGTGCATCCGGATACAATATTAAGCTTGATTTGAAATCCATACACATATATAACTAACTTTACTATTGTTAAAATGTTGATACTCTACATTTCTACCCATTTATTTTTCTTCATCGCGTGGACCAGTGATGAGCCACATGATCTGAAAAGGTGAAACCCCTTGTATCTTATTCATTCAACAGTGATGATTTATTAATCCATTTAAATACTCCTTGAACGACGCACCCTGGCACATTGAAAATGCCACGACCTTTTATTATAAGCCATGCTGAAACTGTCACTGTGGATTCCTAAGGTCAGTTTGGCAACAGTCAGGAAGAAACGGAAATAGGAAAGTCTCTTATTCCCCTTACCTATAACAATGACAATTTTGAAACACATCATTGCTCATTACTTTATCTAGATCTCACAACTTTAAAAACTATACTAACTTTCAATTTAAATTAAGTAATATTTTAGTAGTTTAGTTTACAGGCAGAAGTAATTTTTTCTGAAGGATTAAGTTTGCAGTTGTTTGTAATTATTGTTCTAATGAAACAATTATTCATAAAGTTTATATATTTAACTTTAACTATTTTCTGTAGGAACACAAATCTGTATTAGAAGCAAGGTCACTTCAATTATCGTAGGCATTAAAATACTGTGGACGTATTACACTTTGTAAGCCTTAAATATATTTAGAAAACACATTATTCGTACATTATACACATAAATCTAGGTCCTACTATAAGACAAATAAGTACAGGTAACATGCGTTTTAAAATCTTGTCTAAAATTATACAGATTGACTTACTATAAATTATGATTCAAAGTTTTCGGCTGCCATATTTAGGTGGGCTTCTTGATCTATAAATTCGGAATGCTTTTTAATGTGTGTAACACTAAAGCTCTTAACCCGCTATGGTGCTTTACTGGTGTTAAAGAATCAATACACTGATATTTTATCATTGGATTTCAAAGTCCTCTTGTATTTACTAAAAAGTAACTTTGAAAATATACGAAGGTGCAGGTAATTCATTAACCCAGTTTGTACAACGAGTTTTTTTTATCCTTAATGTTAGTCCAGAAAACACTGAAAGTTTAGTTTCAAGCAAGACAAAATTATAAAATTTAAGAAATTTAAATTTAGAAATTTATTTGATTTATTTTATCATACAATTTGTTTACCTCCCATTGAAAGGAACTTTATCCCAACTCGAGTACAGGCACAGGCCCTGCCTATGTAAACTTTTTCCTTTGTTATAGAAGGTTTTTTTTTACATTTTTCTTCACTTAATATCTACCTACAGTATATAATTTTTTTTGTTATCTAGATAGTATTGTTTTTTTATATTATTCATAGATAAAAAAGCAATGCGCTGAATGTACCTATATATTTAATGGGGAATCAATATTATTAAAATTTCAGGTATATGCATCGTAGAACTTACAGAACATTATAATGCAATACGTACAATAGGATACATGTTTTGAAGTATAAATAAAAACCAATTGACGTTTCAAGTAGAAAGAGTTGACATGCCTACGTACATATTTTATGTGTATAAACTGTCACCCATAAAATAGAAACTTAAAAAAACTTAAAATTACTGTTTAAATATAAATAATAAATTAATAAATAAAACAGGGTTTCCAATCGTGGTGTGGCAATTTCATATATGCCGATGCTTGATGTGAAATATGTGCTTGCATACCTTCAGTTTGAGACCCCAATTATGAAAATCGGTCGGGTTTAAGAGCCAAACGAACTCGGAAGAAAACCCAAATTTAACTCCCATAAGAAATACAAGGGGAGCAAATTTTGTTTACGTATTAAGCCAAATGGGACTGTAGATAAATATATGCCGATAGTTGATGTGAAATCAGTACGCGCATACCTTCAATTTGAGACCTAACCCTGAAAATCGGTCGGGTGGAAAAGTCAAACGAACTCGGAAAAGAAAACCCACATTTTTTAAATATATAATATTAGATTTAATAGATGTATATTACATTTTAAGCCAAATTGGACTGTAGATAAATATATGCCGATAATTGATGTGAAACCAGTACGTGCATACCTTCAATTTGAGACCTAACCCTGAAAATCGGTCGGGTAGAAGAGCCAAACGAACTCAGAAAAGAAAACCCACATTTTTTTTTAAATATATAAGATTAGATTTAATAGATGTATATTACATTTAGTGCTTAGGCTTGCTGATACAGTGGAGGTAAAACAATATTTTTTCCAAATGTTAATAGTATAGAATAAAATTAATAAATGTGCTAAATTTCATAACAATTTATAGCATTTTGCAGCAGCTAAATTGCAGCTTTCTTTTTCTCCAAAGGAATAACATGGTAGTTTTTAATATACAATTTTGTTTTTATTCTATACGTTACCTTTAATTGTACAAAATAACGCTTATAATTTATACGCTTGTAATTTATAGCACTTTAATGTACAAAATGATTTGCCTTTAAGGTCTACACAAAGATCGTAATTGAAATTTTGACATTCACATGGGTAAAAATGGTGTGAAAAAACATATTTTTTAAAAACTTTAAACCCCTATTATTCCCCATTCACATGACCCGATCTTGCTGGTTCGCGAACTTATTTAAGTTTATCCCACCATACATTTTTAACCAAATTCCATAAAAACCAACTCAAGCTATGTCGAGTTATGGCGTTCACAGACACACTAAAACACATGTATAAATTTAAATTTTACCGAATCGGGGGGGGGGGGTGGCATCCAAATGAAATAGGAAATCGATCCCGGGTCTAAGTCTTACCGTGCCACCTACGGTAATGGCTACTTCCCTATAATTCGCTAAAAATAGAAAGGAAATGGGAATTGTAAGTTTCCCGTTTCTCCCTGTCTACCTGGCCGAGAAGATCTGACAGTTTAAGTATGGATCATTATTATAAAAATCCGCCGTCGTGGCAATTTTAAATTTTCCATTGAGGTTAGTAAGCGCATATTATAATTTTTTACCCAACTATGAGTGAAGGATGAGTGTAAGACGAAGTCAAATGCCTTATGTAGCTTGGTTACTGACTGAGACTCGCTGTTTCATTTGTCAGGGCCAATTATTAAAACCCAAATGATCAAGGACAGTAAAATATGTGATAAGGACAAGCAAACCAGAGGCTGTAGCGAATGAATATCATTAATTTTTCCTGTCTGTCGCGAAAGGAAATACAAATTTAAAAACAAGAAAGCTATCAAATATCAATCACTCTGGCACAGTCCTGTCTCTCCCTGGTTTTATCCCCAACCTACGAAAGATCCAAAGACATGAATGGCATATCAATGTGCGTATTTAAGCAAGTATATTTACCTATTCTAACCCCATTAACAAAATTAATTAACTTGTCTCTTCAGTCTGGAACTTTCCCATCTGCATTCAAATCATCAAAAGTCATTCCAATTTTCAAAAAGGATGATCCACAAT